ATTAGGGTCATAAGACTGTCTTAGAATTGATTTGCATTCCATTGTTCCTACAGACAGTATCTCTGACGTTAGAATCATAAGCCATTTTTAAAGGATCATTTAAAACATTTTTTCAGACCCTAAATTCCAGCAAATAGTTTGAAGACTCCTCACAGAGGAACAAGATCAACACAATATAGCTTCTTCATCTCCTTGTCCCGTGACCTCACCCTGTATTCTTTGACCAATTATCTTCACACTTTGGCACACTCAGAAACCTTTAAAAACCCTAACCTCAAATTCCTTGGGGAGATGAATTGGAGGTTTTCTCTTACCTCCTTGCTCAGTGGCCTACAATTAAACTTCTCAGTGTCTTGGCACATTAACATACTGTGTGCAACAGGCAATGAACCTATTATGGTACAGAGTCAGAAAAACAAGGTGAGAATTTTCAAGGGTCTGGCAAGAGAAGTTGGAGGTTAATATCAATGGACTTTAGGCATAGTAGGCAAGGAAATAAAGCTAAGAGGGTAGAATGGAGGGAAAGAGGATCACTGAAGAAGCTTGGGTTAGTTGAGTAAAGACACAGAGGACCAGGGAGTTAGAGAGAGATCAGAAAGTTTAAGAGGCTGCTCTATTGCAGTTCAGGTTTAGAAGTCACAAAGTTTCAGGTGATAAGGTCCAGGATGTGGGATACAGATTGAGGATGCCCATGTTAGATAAGGAGCAAGTTTAGTAACTGGCTCAATTTTACCAACCAAGTTCTAAAGTGTTTTTTTTGTTTGTTTGTTTTTGTTTTAAATGAATGTGGGGGAATGACTAGGAGGTTGATAGATGGCAACTTAAAAACAAAGTTCCCTTAATGTCCCAGCCTGAGCAGTTTCTTATGCCCAGTGCCTGGAAACATTGAGACTAATAGCAGTTGTCATTGTAGAGAAAGTGTTTAATATTCCAAAGGAGCTGAGTGAAGAAAGCAAAGTCTATTTCTCAAATCCTCCTCTGGATGAATTTTAGGCTAGGGTTTTCAAAGGAATAATTTGGTGAGCAGAGGACTAGGGAACGGGCCCTGCTGATTGGTTAGGGATGAAGTCATAGGTGGTGTTGAAACTCTGAAAGTGCAAGATCAGTTTCTAGGAGGGGATCACAGGACTAGTGGAATCAGTTTCTTGGTATGTGTCTTGGGTCATGGGGCCTCAGGTCCATCAGAATGCAAAATCTGAAAAGCATCTCAAGCATCATTCTTAGGCTTTATAATAGAAAGGCTACCTATAAAGCAAGTCCTGTAAACATTGGCTACTGACCTCTGGGCAGTCAGCCATTATAGACATAAGGTATGTAGTGTAGCAGGAAAAATAGAGAGATCGTGACACCGAGACTATTATAGGAAGTGGCACTTTATTATGCTGGCTAGCACAGCACAGCGGGCCCGAGAATTTTATGCATCCAAATCAAGCTCAAGCACCCCAGAACAGGTGACCTGGGGTCTTATACCCTCGTTTAGGTAAGGGAGGGGGGGTCGTGTTGAGTGATTACATACTTTCTTTGGAACCTTACAAGGGTGTACTCAGCAAAATCAGATTTTTCAAAGAACAAATGGTTTCCAGGAACTGCAGGATTGTAAACCTCAGAAGGGGGACTTTAGATAAGACTCTTTTTCATTTCCATGAAACAGCCAGTCTCTAGGCCATTTGGTCTTTCTTTTTTTTTTTGAGTTGGAGTCTCACTCTGTTGCCCAGACTGGAGTGCAGTGGCCACTCCCGGCCACCGCAGCCTCGACCTGCTGGGCTCCGGCGATCCTTCCGCCTCAGCCTTCCGAGTAGCCGGAATTACAGGCATGCGCTACCACGCCTGGCTGATTTTTTGCTTTATTGTAGAGATGAGGTCTTGCTGCCCAGGCGGGTCTCGAACCCGCGGGCTCAGGCAATCCACTCACCTCAGCCTCCCAAAGGCACGGGATTACAGGCTGAGCCACCGAGCCCGGCCATTTGGTCTTTCTTAAACAAAAGCTGCCTGACACCGGGCGGGCCTTTAAAGTTGCAACTTGCCTTTCAAAGGGAAATACCTTTAACTGCTATCAACCTTTCCGTCTTGCCGCTGGGCTAGTGGCAGTCCAGGTGAGGCCAACTGCTGATCCCGAATCAGCCACATGTGTTTCTGTGTTTATTCACTCAATCACACAAGAAATATATTTGAGTATATGCTGCCTCCTGCCACAGTAGTAGGTGGGTTCCCTGGAGATTAAAGCCGCTCAAGCCCTTTGGCTCATCAAATCATAGGATGCCATCAAGGATATCTGTGAACCCTCAAGCTCATTGTTTAAGTAAAAATATGTTTATTGGTTTCATGGGCAACTTCCACCATCCCCAGGAGCCAGGACATGAAGATAATCAGTTGTTCTCTATTGAAGTGAAAGCAAATTTAGAAACAACAGATTTACAGTGGCTCAGCCTGTAATCCTGCGCCTTTGGGAGGCTGAGGTGAGTGGATTGACTGAGCTTGTGGGTTCGAGACCCGCTTGGGCAGCAAGACCTCATCTCTACAATAAATAAAAAAATCGGCCGGGCGTGGTAGCGCATGTCTGTAATTCCGGCTACTTGGAAGGCTGAGGTGGAAGGATCGCCGGAGCCCAGCAGGTCGAGGCTGCAGTGGCCGGGAGCGTCCACTGCACTCCAGTCTGGGCGACAGAGTGAGACTCCAACTCAAAAAAAAAAAAGAGAAAGAAACAACAGATTTGTTAATTTCTAACCATAACTCCAACTTTGTAGGGCTTGGGTCTCTTTTACAGCTTTTACCCTGTGGCCCTATATTAATTTTATATATCTAGTTTCATTAAGACACTAACAACTCCAGCTTTAGTGTTAACACTCAGTAAGATACATTACTGTAACGTATTGAATCACAGTGTGGGTTTTTCATTCTGATTTTTTACCCGTTGACTAACTTATTTTCTCTGTACTTCAGTTTCCTCAACTATAACTTGGGGGTAATGCTCCTTTCTTTCTAGGTCATTGTGAAAAAGAAAAATTTACAAAATTCTTGGTAAATATTGAACACATCATAAATGCTATTATTATTAAAGGAGAAACTGGTACATAAATACATGCTCATAGTACAATACTTTAGAATAAACATACAGAAAATGACTAGTCACTTAAGCTGTACTTGGAATAATAAAGGACGTCTTCAATGAGGTGACAACTGAAGTGACTACAAAAGAAAGCCTAAGTAGTTGCGTGAACAAGTGCATGGGGGAAGTGGCGGGATTTAGGTTGAATGTTCACCTTAAGCCAGGCTGCAGCTGGGCTTGGTGGCTCAGCCTGTAATCCCGTGCCTTTGGGAGGCTGAGGTGAGTGGATTGCCTGAGCCCGCAGGTTTGAGACCTGCCTGGGCAACTTGGCGAGACCTCATCTCTACAATAAATCAAAAATTAGCCAGGCGTGGTAGCGGGCACATGTAGTTCCAGCTACTTGGAAGGCTGAGGTGGAAGGATCACCAGAGCCCAGCAAGTCGAGGCTGCGGTGGCCGGCACCAGCCACTGCACTCCAGTCTGGGCGACATAGTGACTCCAACTCAAAAAAAAAAAAAAAAAAACCAACAAAAAACCCCAAAACATTATAGGCTGGGCGTGGTGGCTCAGCCTGAAATCTCAGCACTGGGAGGCTGAGGTGAGAGGACTGCTTGAGCCCAGGAGTTTGAGACCAGCCTAGGCAACTTGGTGAGATCTTGTTTCTACAAATCACAAAAAGTAGCCGGGTGTGGAGGCGTGCATTTATAGTTCCAGCTACTTGGAAACCTGAGATGGAAGGATAGTCTGAGCCCAGCAGGTGGAGGCTGCAGTGGCTGTGAGCCTCCAGCCTGGATGATAAGAGTGAGACTCCAACTCAGAAAAATATATACATTATTAAAAAACTCAAAAAAGATGTATAACACTTCCATTGCCTTGCTTAGCTATGGGTGGCCATGTGCTCACTGAGCTATGGCCAGGCCGTTTTCTGGCTTTGGCCCCCTTCCCTACCTTGGGGAGGTGAAGCTCCTCTTTCTTTCTCACTCTAATTTACTTTTTAAAATAAACTATGCTTTCTAATCTAAAAAAAAAAAAATAGTATCACACCCTGCCCAGCCACGTATCTTTTGTACCCTCTCTGAAGACAAAAGCACAGAGATACTAAATAACTCGCCCCTGGGCACACATAAATGGAAATAAATTGGGATTTTTATTTTAGAGCGGGGGTCTTGCTCTGTCGCCCAGGCTAGAGTGCAGTGGCGCGATCACAGTTCACTGCATCCTCGGTGGTTGGGCTCCCGCCTTAGCCTCTGAAATAGCTGGAACTAGAGGTGTGAGCCAGCACACCTGGCTGGGTTTTTATTTTTAAAAGTTGGTTTGGCACAAGAGCGACTCAGAAAAGGGAACTTCAAGAAAGCGTGAGATAGAATAGCAGGATCACTGAGTGCTAGTTGAGAGCTAGGACAGTCGAGGATGGATTATAGAGTTTAGGCCTGTCATGAGAAGTTTGGCCTTGAGTCTAAGAGCAATGCCCAATGAAGGATTTTAAAGAGGCGAGTTGAAACTGAACAGGTCACCAAAAGCATGATGATGCCCTGGCAGATCAGTGACGCTCCATTTACTGAGAGCCCTGTCCAGGCAACGGATTTGCAGTAAGTGGATAAGTGCTGCAGAGGCCTTTTCCTCCGCCCACGCCGCCCAATTTCTAAAGCCCCCAGGCTGCGTGCCCCTTAGGCTCCTTTAGGGAGAGGGACCGCAGCGCTACTGCGCCGACTCCACCTCTTCCGAGCCCCCTGGTCCCGCTCCTCCAGTTTCGCCCGCCAAGCCCAACGAAAGGTTTCAAATTTGGATCCCAGCCACAGCTTCCTCCCGGCAGTGCCGCGCGTCCGATCACGTGCAGGCCCAGTCACGTGACACCAGATCACGTGAGGGCCGGTCACGCCGGGGGGCGGGGGCTGCCTGGCTGGGGTCAGCTTCCGGAGCTCTGTGCTCCGCGGGTGCTGCGTCAGGGGCTTGGAGCCCGCCGAACCGCGCGATCGCGATGGTGAGGGTGGTGGGCTCGGCCGGGGCTGGGATGGGGCCACCACCACCGCCGCCGCTCGCAGGGTCAGCCCCTCTTCTCGTCCTTTCCGCTGCAGATGAACCGGACGACCCCAGACCAGGAGCAGACGCCGGCGACCGAGCCCGTGTGGGAGCGGCCCTGGTCGGTGGAGGAGATCCGCAGGAGCAGCCAGAGCTGGTCACTGGCGGCCGACGCCGGCGTGAGAGGCGGGCCCCGGGGACGCGAGGGGAGGGCGGGCCGCTGGCCTGCCAGTCGTAGTACGGGATCCCTGATTCCGCCTGCACCCAGGCGGTCTCGCCGCCTGCCCTCTTAGGAACGCGCACCCCCTTTGCACCCTGGAAAACTCCACCGTGGCAATCCCTAGTCGCCAGGAAGAAGGGCGAATCGGTGGGTCTCAATCCACTGAGTGCTTGGACCTGGATTGTGGCCCAGTCACGGAGTTGTCTTCGTTGTTTGAGTTTCCCAGCCGTGCATTCAACTCCATTGGTTTTGAGGGGCAGATCCGTTTCTGCCGCTCTGAGGAATTGCTAGGGCATTAGTGAGGCGATTCCGTGTTGGGACCTGGATTGAGTGGGGTGGGAGACAAGGCAGTACGAGTATCTTTGAGTGGTACTCTTCAGCCAGGGGCCCAGAAGTCTCAGAACTTTAATTCCAAAGTCCCATAGGAATAGGGTTTTTGGATGAGTGGTGGTTGGTTATCTTACCGCTGGTCTGTCATCCTTGTAGAATGACAGCCAAGCAGGACTTTAAAATTCTAAGACCACGTCTCTAAAAATAAAATTTAGCCGGGTGTGGTGGCTCATTGCCACTCTTGATGAGTTTTTTTTTTTTTTAGTGTTTTTCAATGCTTCTTGGTTTTAGTACTGTCAAAGTAGCATCTCCAATATTCCAACTTACACAGAGATGAAAGGACATGGGTTTTTTGTTTTGACACACAGAATAGATGCATGTAATATTGATACTACTGTATGTTTATATTTAAAATAGCTACTACAGTTTCTCCAGGAATTCTCACAGCAGACTATCTCTAGGACCCATGAAATCAAGAAACAAGTGGATGGACTAATTCGAGAAACGAAAGCCACAGATTGTCGCCTGCATAATGTCTTCAATGACTTCCTTATGCTGTCTAATACACAGTTCATTGAGAATGTGAGTTATTTAGTTACATTATACTTATATATAGTTCTTTTTTGGGGAGTAAGAGATACTGTAATTTTTTGTACTATTCTTTGTATTATTCCAATCTTAGTGTATGTGCTGCTGAAGCAATTATAAGAGATATAATTTTAAATGCCCTTTTATAGTGGTTCTTGGTAATTGAAGATTTTGTCCTAGGATTAGTGCCTTTTTTTAATAGTTAAGTTTTAAGTTTTTTATTTTCAGGGCTTTACAAAAATTTAGTATAAGATTTCCTCATATTCTGGTCTTTCCATTCCTTTTTTAATTTTGAGAGTAGTCAGCAGTTGTGCTGAATTGTGTGACATTCAAACTAGCCTTGTCATGGCATGTTATGTATGAACAACCTTATACCTGGTCTGATCCTCTGGACACCAGTATGTGGCTTCAGTTATTAATTAGGTTCATTATTGTCTGATAAATGATATTAAAGGGATGTGTGCGTTTACTTGGAATATTTTCAATTCAAGTTTTCTTTGATGATTGAATCAGTGATACAGAATTAACAGCTTACTAAGCTTTAATCCATGTGTGATTTTTGTCTATATGTTTAATGAATTTCTGCTAGATGCTAGGAATATATAGGTAAATTAGTTAGATCCTGTACCTTGGTAAATAGTATAATTCCAGAATAAAAAGGAAGTGTGACCGGAGCCAAGGTGAGTGAAGGGGAGACTTGTTAAGAGATGGGGATAGAGAGGAATCTTAGTTGAACCGATCTGTATTTCTATTAGGATGTCCAGCTTTCTGAATATCAACATTAATTTGTGAAAAGAGGATTGTTAAAGTAGGGTAGCTCCTGAGATTGTTAGATGTAAAGTAATAGAAAAGATTTTTGAAATTGCAAGATTATAAAAGCTCAAGATTTAAGATTGTTAAGAGAATACCATGTAATGCCATGTAGGTAACTTTCACAGCATGTTTGTGCATTTTTTTAGTAGCTCAGGTTGAAATGCCACTTCTAGTCTTTTGTGAAGCTCTGTGTAGAATACAGATGTTTATAAAGATTTTGGAGTTCTCTTTGCCAATTAATTTCTTTAATGGCAAAGGAAAATTAATAAGTGTGAAATATAACAAGTATTTGAGTAAAATCAGTAGTTTTCTATGGTTTATACAGAATGCCCGTGCATCATCCTGAGCATTTATCTCACTTTTTGGTTTAAGGGACTCTAGGCTCTACTCCTTTGGTGTATTCAGCTGTGTCACTTTTCATCAAGCTGAATTTGGTGTCCTTTTTAAAATTTTTTTGAGTAGGAGTCTCACTCTGTCATCCAGGCTGGAGTGTAGTAGCACGCTCATGGCCACTGCAACCTTGACCTGCTGGGCTTAGGTGATCCTTCCACCTCAGCCTTTCAGGTAGCTGGCACAGGCGTGTGTTGCCACACCTGGCTAATTTTTTGATTTATTGTAGAGACAAGGTCTCGCCAAGTTTCCCAGGCTGGTCTCGAACCCTGGGCTCAAGGAATCCTATTACCTCTGCCTCCCAAGGTGCTGGGATTACAGGCTTGAGCCACTGTGCCTGGCCTGGTGTCCTTTTAAATATTCTTGTTGCACTCATTCTGTACCTTTCTTGCTGGATCAGGTACCCAGCTCTTCTCTGCAGTCAGTGTTGTAGCACCAGACTGGGTAAGGAATAAATTTGGGAGGTTTCTTTTGTACCCAGTGTTCCCATACCAGGTTGATACTGGACTGGTATCAGATTGATACTTTAGTGGGGAGAAGTGGTGGCATCATAATCTTCTTGTTTTTGAATCATGGTGTTTACATCTTCTCTTTTTCCAGCTGTTCTTTACTGGCCAAGTTTTCTTAGATTCTGAGTTTTCAATGATTTGGTTTTTGTGGAGTTTTTTTGTTTTTGTTTTGTTTTGGTAGTAGTTCTTTATTTCTGTCCACTTCTGTGAATTTCCTGTTTTTCCATCCATCTCTCCATCCCCTTAGTCTTAGTGTTAAGTCCTTGTACCCCTTCTCTTCCAGTCTGCAGCCAGAACTCTCTTGATATGCTGGTTACCACTGCCAAATCTAACTGCTTCCTAGATCTCCTATAATGCCATGTTATAGATTTGTGATGTTGAGAGAATAACTAATGCTTAGTAAAACTCTGGAAAAATCTATTTGCTAATTTACATTTGTTAGTGATCTGACTTTTTTGTGTGTTTTTGCAAATTTAACATCAGGACTCATGCATTATAATTTGGGCTTGAATGATAGTGCCATTTGGTTTCATGGTAGTTTACTGGAAAGATTATTCAAAGTCAGATAGGTTTATTTTTGGTTTTATTAATTATTCTCGGAAGCAAACTACATTACAAAGTTAGTTTATAAAGGTGCAAACTACATTACAAAGTTAGTGAAATAGGCCAGGCTTTCTAGGGCAAGGGCAGTCAGGACTTTCTAGGGCAAGAGAAATTAGTACCATTAGTAAAGGCTCAAGAGGGCTTTCTGAGGGAGTAGAAACACTAATTAACGTTGCCAGTGTTTTAGTGCCTAATTAAAAGGTAGCACAGTTCTTAAAAGCTTCGTTAATCTGTTAACTTAGGAATTTTACCCTGAGATATTAAGTGTCATAGTAAATGACTTCAGTTTGTTAAAAGATCTTGTAAGGGAGGATTTTTCTTTTTAAAGTCAATTGTTTCAAAATCTTTCGTTTTGTGAAAGTAAACAAAAAATAAGAAATGAAACTTAATTTTTCAGGTTATCTTTCTATTTATAAAAGCTGATTTTTGGTCATTTTCCCCACCTTTTCTATCTTCCTCTTGAAGAAACAAATGGAGTTGCTGAAAATGTCAGGTACTCAACAATTAGAGAAAGAGGGTAAAGCTCAAAAGCCTTCATGGCCTCTATAACTTCCTGCACAGGTTACCCTTTGCACCTGCCTTATTTTACATGATGTTCCTTGTTTTCGACACTCTAGCCTTCTTCTTTCTTGGAGGTACCACATGCCCTGCTGCCACTGGGCCTTTGCTTGCATTCCTTCATGTGCCTCTGCTGATTGAAATCTATCTTCCAGGTCTCAGCTCCTTGACCCTCTGCACTAGGCAAACTGGGTGAAAGCACTTGAAACATCATATACCATTCTTTAGTAGATGTCTCACAATTTCAGTTATTGATAGGATTTGAGGTCTCCCCTACTAACTCCCCTACTAAATCAAGCCCCATATTGTTGCCACATATTGTATTTGTAGGATCCAGCAAAAACCTAATATATAGGGACTCAGTGAATATTTGAACCAATGAATGAGAGTATATATAAATGAAAAGGACCAGGGCTGTGTAATATATTAAGGAATCCCCAGCCCTGGTCCCCTTTTCCCCAGTTACTTACTTTTCCCTTTTATCCAATCACCCCAAATGAGAAAAAGCTCCTTTCAGGGGAAATACCAAAGATATTTAACAGTTCTGTGTATAGTTATCTGATTGTAAAAGGATCAAGCTGTATATGAAGCTGTGAATTGAGCCTAGTAGGAGTGAAGAAACTCTGGTGGTTAGTGTACCTGAGATGTGCAGTCCAGCTCACTCAGAAGATCCCATAGGTTGTAGGTCTTTGCTGGTTGGTGTCTTAGATGTCACGTTTGGCTTCCCAGTTACAGGCTACTGATACCTTGTCATGTAGTTTTAATTTTATTTTAATTTATTTTTTATTATAAAGATGTAGGGTACAATTCAGGGTTAGGTATACAAACGTTGATTAGGTAGGTACTCATGTTGATGAGGTGTGCCCCTCCCTCCCCAGCAGTTTCCCTCAACTGCCAATCCCAACCCCCTCCCCTGACAGTTTCCCACTACTGCCAATCCCTTTCTTATAGTATTATAATTGTTCAAGGTCTGCTTATGAGTGAGAACATATGGTACTCTGTTCTTTGTTTCTGTGATGGATCACTGAGCATGATCGACTCTAAATCCATCCAAGTTGCTGCGAAGTCCGTATGTTTGTCCTTCTTTATGGCTGCATAATATTCCTTTGTGTATATGTACCACATTTATTTATTTATTTATTTATTTATTTTTTTGAGTTGGAGTCTCACTCTGTCGCCCAGACTGGAGTGCAGTGGCCACTCCCGGCCACTGCATCCTCGACCTGCTGGGCTCCGGCGATCCTTCCACCTCAACCTTCCGAGCAGCCAGAATTACAGGCATGCGCTACCATGCCTGGCTGATTTTTTGATTTATTGTAGAGATGAGGTCTTGCCATGTTGCCCAGGTGGGTCTTGAGCCTGCAGGCTCAGGCAGTCCACTCACCTCAGCCTCCCAAAGGCGTGGGATTACAGGCTGAGCCACCGAGCCCCGGCTTGTACCACATTTTTAAAATCCAGTTCAGCGTCAGTGGGCAGCATGATTGGTTCCATGTTTTTTGCTATTGTGAATAGAGCTGCAACAAACATACATGTGCAGGTATCTTTTTTGTAGAATGATTTGAGTTTCTCCGGGTATATTCCCAATAAGGGAATTGCTGGGTCATGTGGAAGGTCAATTTCTAGTTCTTTCAGAAATCACCACACTGTCTTCCAAAGAGGTTGCACTAGTTTGCATTCCCACCAGCAGTGTAGAAGCATTCCTTTTTCTCCACATCCTCGCCAGCATTTGTTGCTTTGTTATATTAGTGATGGCCATTCTTACTGAGGTTAAGTGGTATCTCAATGTGTTTTTGATTTGATGATGAGTGAGTCTGAGCACTTTTTCATGTGTCTGTTGGCTGCCTGTATATCTTCTTTTGAGAAATGTCTCTTCATGTTTTTTGCCCACTTTTTAATGTGGCTGTTTGTTTTTTTCCTTTTGGCACGTTTGAGTTCCTTATAGATCCTTTATGTTAGGCCTTTGTCAGATATACAGTTGGTGAGGTAGTTTTCAATGACTGCAACGGAAAAAGTAGGCTGTTGAAGTCCAGACTTCAGCATACAACTCAACCTTTTGTGTTACTTGCCTTGTTCTATAAATGCTGAAGTAACCTTGGTAGCTGCCATTCTTAAAAAGTCTCACTTTTAAGATTTACTTATAATACTTTTTGGAGTCATCATTTTGAAAATTACCAAAGTAATTTGTGATCTTTATAGAATAATTAGGAAAAGTAAGAAAAAAGAAAAATTGTCTGAAATTTCCTCAGCTGGAGGTAAGCCTCTCAATGGTTTGACACTTATATTCTAAGTCCATTTCTCATGTAGATGCAGGCTTAAAATAATTAAATCTACCAAAAAAAATTACAATTCCACCACCTCAGATAAACCAATGATTGAACATTTTGGTGTATATAGTTCTTTAGTTCTTTCTAGTCTTTTTTTTTTTGAGTTGGAGTCTCACTCTGTCACCCAGACTGGAGTGCAGTGGCTGCTCCTGACCACCGCAACCTTGACCGACTGGGCTCCAGAGATCCTTCCGCCTCAGCCTTCCAAGTAGCTGGAACTACAGGCGCGTGCTACCACGCCTGGCTAATTTTTGATTTATTGTAGAGATGAGGTCTCACCAAGTTGCCCAGGCGGGTCTCGAACCCACAGGCTCAGGCAATCCACTCACCTCAGCCTCCCAAGGCGCAGGATTACAGGTAGAGCCACCGAGCCCGGCTATTTTTTTTTAAACCTTTTCTAGATGACTCTGTGTATATTTGTAGCCTGCATTTTAAAAAATATTAACTTATAAGCATTTTAACTCATCTTTGAGACTTCTGTTAACCTTTATTCTTGTTCTATTATATGACTGTGTCTCATATTTAACAACTCTTCAACATCAAAGGTTTTTGTGAAATAGTTCATATAAATAGAAAGTTCAGAGAAGACCCACAAATGCTAAGCACCTAGTACCAATACATTTTAATATTTTGCCATATTTGCACCAAAGGCTCTAAATCCCCATTTTTGTCTTTAAATATTTTGGGCGAAGGCTTCCTTATATTTCTGCCTTTTTATTCTTTTTATCTAGAGAGGGATTTCTTTTTTTTTTTCCCATTTAGATAACATTCATTGTGTAGTTGTTGTTTCTCATTGACTTAAATGTATGAATGTTCGTGTTTGTTTATGTGAGTATAACATTAGGCTTCCAAGTAATTGTTTCTGGCCTCTGCTTTTTATTGTTTCTCTGCTGTCTGCCAGCATCACAATCTTAAATCCTACAGATTTCCAACAAGTTTTATTAGAAAAAGTCCCAGTAACTTCTGTTTATTCAGAATTATCATGGTTATTAAAATCTTTAGCTTTTTACTTAATCTTGTGTGAATTTGAGGATTGTCTTACTACTTTGTGCCACAGAACATTCTATTAGCATATTTGATTGGAATCGTATAGAATTATAAATTTGGTTGTTGTGACTTTCTACTGTAAATCATGATCCCATGAGCATCTTATTTGCATTTACACTTATTTTTCTTGGAACTATATTTTAAGAAGTCTTGGGTCAGAGGTTATGAACATTTAAAAACAACATTTTTTGATCAGATTGGTTGATTTTTTTTTTTTTTTTTTTTTTTTTGAGTTGGAGTCTCACTCTGTCGCCCAGACTGGAGTGCAGTGGCTGCTCCCGACCACCACAACCTCGCCTGCTGGGCTCCGGTGATCCTTCCGCCTCAGCCTTCCAAGTAGCTGGAATTACAGGCATGTGCTATCACGCCCGGCTGATTTTTTGATTTATTGTAGAGATGAGGTCTCGCTGCCCAGGTGGGTCTCGAACCCGCGGGCTCAGGCAATCCACTCACCTCAGCCTCCCAAAGGCGTGGGATTACAGGCTGAGCCACTGAGCCTGGCTGGTTGATATTTTTTAAAAGGTAGACAGCATCCATTGTTGCCAGAGATTTGGGAAATGGGAGCTTGAGTACACTAGTGTCAGGGAATTGTTATACATTTGTGCATAGGAATCTGGAAATGGTTATTAAGATTTTAGAAAGTTTTGCGGCCAGGCACAGTGACTCATGCCTGTAATCTCAACACTTTGGGAAGCCAAAGCAGGAGGATTTCTTGAGCCCTGGAGTTCAAGATCAGCCTGGGCAACATGGTGAGACCCTGTCTCTATAATGTAAATAAGTGAAAAATTTAAAAAAGATTTTAAAAAGCTTTGTTCTTTGACTTGGCAAGCCTATATTTTGGGAAGTCTATAGAATTAAAAGGACTAGTGCCTAAGAATATGTGTGTATATGTTCTGAGCAGCTTTGTTTACAATAGCAAAATCTGGAAATCTCCTTGATATTTACCAATAGGGAACTGTTGAATTAATTATGGTCGAGTTTATACCATAGAACATTATGTAGATATTTAAAAGTTTGAGTTAAGTCTCTATGCAGTGACCTAAAACGGAGCATTGAGTGAAAAAATAGAGCAGAGAAATGTGTATAGTATGAATGCATTTTTGTTTAAAAGCAGGAAAGGTAGAACTCTGAATATGTACATCTGTCTGTATAATTTGTGTAAGAACCTCAGGACACAGAGCACACATATACCTTAACATATATATAACTTAAATTGGTTATTCCAAGGATTAGGCTGGGAGTAGAGAGGGAGTTGTTTTTAAATTCATCTCTGTTATATATGTCTTTATATTGACTTATACTTTTAAAAATTGAGATAGAATTCATATACCATGATATTCACTCTTTTTTAAAACAGTACATATCTCAGTGGTATAGTCATAAAGTTTTGTTGTAACCATGGCCACTATCTAATTCCAGAACATTTCTGTCCACCCATTTATGTTGAGTTTTTATAACAAGCATGTTGTACTTTGGTAGTTAAAAAAAAAAGTTTAAAAAAAGGAAATCACAATAAGTTGGCAGAGTGAAGGGTCTCTTCTGGAAGAGTCTTGCTGCTGTGCTGAAAGGGTTGGTAAGGCTGGGCATAATAGCTGGTTGTTATTCCAGCGCTTTGGGAGACCAAGGTGGGAGGATCCCCTAAGGTCAAGAGTTCAAGACCAGCCTGGCCTACATAGCAAGACCCTGGCTCTACAGAAAAAAAAGAAAATGAAAAAAAAGTTGACAAATGCTTGACCTTCTGGCAAATGGGTGGTGGATTTTACCTGCTTTTGTGTAAATGGGGTAATAAAAATTTATCAGCCATTTTATCAGCAACTTTCATTTATCAGAATGAAAATTTTGCTTTCATTTTTTTCTTTAAAAGTTTTTTTTTGTATTTTTATTTTTTAAATTAGAATTATAGATTTTATATTAGAGATGGCGTCTTACTACGTAGCTCAAGCTGGTCTCAAACTCATGGCCTTGAGCTATCCTTCTGCCTTGGTCTTCTAAAGTGCTGAGGTTACAGACATGAGCCACTGTACCTGGCAGTCTTACCATTTTCATTGCTTCAAATGGTCACACTCTTGTTACCTAGTTGATAAGTTATACCAGTCGACTTTCTCAGTAGTAGCCTTGGTTGAGAATACCTCTATCATTGTCCATCAACATTATGTATTAAGTTAAAGGAAAAGGTTTGAAGACCGGTATCTTATTGTTTTTGCAACTCTTTGGTCAACAGTGAGGTTGAACTTTTTTCTTATTTCCTAGTCATTTGTATCTTTTAATTTAATTTTAATTTTTGGTGAATAGACTGTTGTTCTTTGCTGTTTGTCTGTGACCCACTGGTAGTGGCCTCAGCCATTTATTAAATAATCATTTCCTTTCCCATCTTTGTCCTTTTTACTGTATATTGAATTCTTATGTTGTGATTTATTTCAAATGATGTTTTGACCCTTTACAAATGAACTTGCTTCCATATTTAGCGTGTATACGATGAAGAAGTCGAGGAGCCGGTACTCAAGGCTGAGTCAGAAAAAACAGAACAGGTACTTGTATTAAACCACTCTTCAGTTGAGTTTCTGACTTAGAGAAGAAATGTGGTAGAGATTTGTAATGTGACTGATGTGGGGATGGTGTGCAGGGGATGGGTTCTAGGGAAAAGGGCAAGATTATTCCTGACAGCAGCTCAACAGTGGAACTCTTTCTTTGTTTCTGAAATGTAGTGTATTAAGTAATATATCGATTAAATCCCCAAATTCTGGCATAAGAATAGAGCAGAGATCAACAAACTTTTCCTGTAAAGAGCAAGGCAGTAAGTATTATATGCTTTGTGGGCCACATAGGTCATGTTTTGCGGTGGCTTCATGCATTACAGATGCATCAGCAGTCTTCCTTGGGTGTTCTTACATTGTGGACCAAAATATAAATAAAAGGTTCTGGGTTAGACTGACTTTTGAGCACTCTAGTAGAGGTTTTCCCCTTTCCCTCCCACTCAGGAAAGCACAATGGAATGTGAATACATTTATTATGGGAATAGCTTTTTTTGTTTGTTTGTTTTTGTTTTTTTTTTTGAGTTGGAGTTTCACTCAGTTGCTCAGACTAGAGTGCAGTGGCCGCTCCCGACCACCGCAGCCTCGCCTGCTGGGCTCCAGCGATCCTTCCGCCTCAGTCTTCCAAGTAGCTGGAACTACAGGCGCACGATACCACACCCGGCTAATTTTTTGATTTATTGTAGAGATGAGGTCTCGCTGCCCAGGCAGGTCTCGAACCCGCGGGCTCAGGCAATCCACTCACCTCAGCCTCCCAAAGGCGCAGGATTACAGGCTGAGCCACCAAGAGTTGGAGTCTCACTCTGTCACCCAGACTGGAGTGCAGTGGCCACTCCCGGCCACCACAGCCTCAACCTGCTGGACTCCAGCAATCCTTCCGCCTCTGCCTTCCAAGTAGCTGGAACTACAGGCGCACACTGCCACACCCGGCTAGGGGGAATAGCTTTTGAATCAGCTCTAATTTATTTATAAAATACAAATCACTTGGAAGGTTGGTACTTTATCAGCAACTATTAGTCAGAACAGATGAATCTTTTAGACTAGGAAAGGATGTTACAAACTGACTACAGTTCTACCTATTCCCAGCGTTAAAAAAATAAAATTGACTGGGCTTGGTGGCTCAGCCTAATCCCCAGCACTTTGGGAGGTTGAGGCAAGTGGATTACCTAAGCCTGTGGGTTTGGGACCAGCCCAGGCAGCTTGGTGAGACCTTGTCTCTGCACTAAATAAAAAATTAGCCGGGCGTGGTAGCACATGCCTGTAGTTCCAGCTACATGGAAGGCGGAGGTGGAAGGATCGCTGGAGGCCACAGGTCGATGCTGGGCTGGCCGTGAGTGTGCCACTGCACTCCAGCCTGGGCGACAGAGTGAGACTTCACCTCAAACAAACAAACAAAAAATTATTTTAATTTTAATAGTATTCAAGGATTTGCTAACCATTTAAGTGCAGTAGTATCTGGTTATACCAATTCAGGGTTCCATTTGAAAGTGAGCCGGGCTTGGTGGCTCAGCCTGTATTCCCGCGCCTTTGGGAGGCTGAGGTGAGTAGATTGCCTGAGCCCATGGGTTCGAGACCCGCCTGGGCAACTTGGCGAGACCTCATCTCTACAATACATCAAAAATTTAGCCGGGCGTGGTAGCGCGCGCCTGTAGTTCCAGCTACTTGGAAGGCTGACGCGGAAGGATTGCCGGAGCCCAGCAGGTCGAGGCTGTGGTGGCCAGGAGTGGCCACTGCACTCCAGTCTGGGCGACAGAGTGAGACTCCAACTCAAAAAAAAAAAGAAAGAAAAAGATACAACTTTAAAAAAAAAAGTTAAGTTAGAAAGACTTCAGTGCTTGAGATAAAAGACTAAAATACTTGAAGAGTTTTCTTCTTTGTCCCTCAGAACAACACTATATGGTTTGGTTCCTTTTGTAGTTATCTGTCAACTACTAGAATATTCATGGTGGGGGGTGGAAATGACACTAAGTATTTTTCAGTATTTCTCACAATTGTTGGCTCACTTGTGTCTGAGGGGACTGTCATTGATTTTGTAGGCAATAGAGACCTGTGGGAAATAAGAACAGACTTTCCTTTTTGAGGTGGGGTATTGTTCTAGGGTGATACAAATAGACTAGAGATGAAACTGACCTACTTTTTTGGTGTGGAACAAGTTTATAATATAATTGTAATTGTCCATTTTTTTGGGCTATAATTGAAAAATGAAATATCTGGCTAGAATATTTTCTTCTAAGTCTTAACTCCTAAAATTGTCCAAGGCACCATTAACCAAGGCTAGTGGGATAATTATGATGAATCTACAAATCTTTGCCCTTTATTCAGTCAGCAGTGGGGAAATGACATTCATTGTTAGGGTACTTTTATACAACTTTTTTATTTTTATTTTTTCATAAGCCCTTTCTCCAGTGTGAACTTTTACACAATGTGTCTAACTGAACCATCACACAACAGTTCAGTAGATGATGGACCAGGAGCTCCCGGGCCTTAGGCAGTTTCATTCAAGTCCAGAAAGTGGTAAATTTGGGATTTGAAACTTTCAGTCTTGTTCCAAAGTCTGTGTCAAGCATTCAATAGAATCTGACTTTGTTAACAATTTAAGTTTTTTTTGGCACACGAGGCTAGGCTTTAAAGATAATTCACAGTGTTTTCTTTGGGTGGTATTAGTATATTGGCGGTCCATACTGCATGGTATTTGTTTTATAGGAGAAGACCCGGGAACAGAAAGAGGTAGATCTCATTCCTAAAGTCCAAGAGGCTGTGAACTATGGCTTACAAGTATTGGACAGTGCATTTGAGCAACTTGATATCAAAGCGGGAAACTCAGACTCTGAAGAAGATGATGCTAATGAGAGGATGGAACTGATCCTTGAACCAAAGGTAAAGACATTCAGTTAAAATATTTATTGTTGCATCTATGTCATGGGTACTTTACTTGGACACATGATTAGTAAGTCAGGGACTTGACCTCTGGGCAGTAAGCATGTCACTTAGCAATCTCACATTGACTCTGTCAGAAAGACTTGCTTTGCCTGAGCTTTGATTGAGCGCTTGTGAGGTACAAGGCAGCATGCCAAGTTAGGGGAGAGCAAAGATGCCAGACAGGCCTCTTAATTCTCAAGGTGCTTGTTACAGTCTGGTGGGAGAGAGGAGACATTTACGTGAGTGGTCATTGTAAATATTCTGAGAATGAATTAACTTCTAACTGGGACATTAGGTGAAAATGAAATATGAATCGGGGCTTGAAGGATGGGGAGGCTCATGAGAGGTAGAAAGTGTTAGGAACCTAAAATTGTGTAGCTTATGCTAAAGAAAACCGCAGAAGTCTTGAAAGACGTCTGGATTGTTTTTTGATTTTGGTTGTTACAAAGAAAGCTGTTATGAGCATTCATTTCCAGCCTCCCTGTTAATCTAACAGACTTTGCTTTAGTATTACTTTCTCTGTTTGTTAAAAGAGGAAGTAGGGCAGCATACAATCACTCAGTAGTAAACACACAAGGTTGCCATAGTGATTGCGTGAGTTTTTGTGACACACAAGTGCCTTTTGAATAAAAACATGCCAGAAAACCAGACCCTTCTAGTCATTCATTAGCTGCACATTTCCCTTCTAGTTGGAGCTTCACAGAGTTGTACTAAATTGGAGCAGATCCTTTAGTACGTGTACATTTGCTGGCTTGCTCTTTCACTGTATGAATTTAGAAGTCAGCAGCAGACCCTGGGAAATGTATTGCTTGGGCCACACCTGATACTTTCAAGTTGCACACAGCTTTCTCTTTTCTCTTTCTTTTCTGAGTCAGCCAGAATGAGTCCAGATTGGCATTGTCTTTTTACACTTATTTGGTTGCTGTTGTATCTTTAACCTTTACAGTCTTCCCAATCTTTCTGTTGTGTGAGACATCAGAGTTGCTCTCTTCCGCCCCCTAGGGTCCACTTGATAGGGAAAGATATAGGGCCAGAGGGCAATGCCTTACAGTGGACAGGTCAGCTTTTCCTCTTGCAGTAGAGGTAGGAGTGCTTTCTTGATCCTACATTTTTCACATGTGCGTGGTGGGTGGGACTGACAGACTGACATGGGCAGGTCTCCAGCAGGCACTATTTGTATCTGCAGTCTTCTGCATCTCATTCTGTGTTTTCTCATCTGGTCTTATTTTACTAACTTCTCTTTTCTAAATTCTACAGTGAACCGCAAGGGGGGTGGGGGCATTGTTATTGTTTTTTTGTTTTTTGTTTTCTCCCAGATAGGTTCTCAAAAGTTTCTCGGATATTTCTTTTCTCTTCTTCTTCTTTTTTTTTTGTCAGTCTCACTCTGTTGCCCAGGCTGGAGTGCAGTGGCACACTTACCATGGCCACCCCAGTGTTGACCTGTGGGGCTCAGTGATCCACCTGCCTCAGCCTTCCAAGTAGCCAGAACTATAGGCACGCGCTACCACAACCGGCTAGGATATTTCTTTAGTTTATGTTAACTGCGTTGTGTTCATTGTAGATATTTGCATGGTTGCCATTGTTTCTTTTCTTTTCTTTTTTTTTTTTTTGAGTTGGAGTCTCACTGTGTTGCCCAGGCTGGAGTGCAGTGGCATGCTCCTGGCCACCACAGCCTTGACCTGCTGGGCTCAGATGATCCTTACGCCTCAGCCTTCCAAATAGCTGAAACTACAGGCACGTGCCATCACACCCCCAGCTAATTTTTTGATTTATTGTAGGGACGAAGTCTCACCATGCTGCCCAGGCTGGTCTTGAACTCATGGATTCAGGCAATCCTCTCGCCTTGTCCTCCCAAAGTGCTGGGATTATAGGCTTGAACCACAGCACCTGGCTAGTTGTTTCTCTTTATTTAGCCCATACATTATGTGCCCTGCTTCAGTCTTCTTCTTTGCTGTGGTATAACATGAACAACTCTGCCTTGATTCCTTTTGTACCTTATTTGTGACCTCTGTGTTTACCCTCACCCTACCGAACCCAGGTGTACTCGCCTACTTTCTCAGAATTATATGTAAGCATTTAGATTATTTCCTCAGTATGCTTTTCTCCAAATTTAGAACTACTATTGATGATTCTCAAGATGTACATGTTTGTATATGGATACATATGTTCATATATATGGAGTTTAAAACAGTACTGATGAGCTAAAATACATATATCTAAAATATAAATATATGTATATTTTATTTATATATGACATATGTATATATTGTTTTTATGATACATTATATTTTAATATCTTATTTGTATAAACGTAAATATATTTTTAAATAAACAAATACAGTTTTTGGCATACCAGTGTGGTGGGGTTAGGACTCATCAATGTTCATCAGAATTTTTGGTTTCTTTCCTTAGTTCTCCTTCTTTTAGATATTTTACTATAAGGTTGTTCCCTTTTCCTTAACTACTGTTGGTAAACTTTTTGCAGGCTTTTTGTCATTTTTGTTATTTTTTGTTAATTAGGCACTTGGGGACTAAGATTCTGTGTGATTCAGCTTTATTCTGTGATCTTTAGCTAGGATTTGACTTACAAAAAATTTTTTTTTGAATCAGAGTCTCACTCAGTTGCCCAGGCTGGAGTGCCAGTGGTACACTCACAGCCACCCAGAGTCGACCTGCTGGGCTCAGGTGATCCTTCCCCCTCAGCCTTCCAAGTAGCCAGAACTACACATGTGTGCTACTACACCAGGGTAATTTTTTGATATATTGTAGAGATGAGATCTCACCAAGTTGCCCAGACTGGTCTCGAACCCCTGGGCTCAGGCATTCCTCTCGCCTCAGCCGTCCAAAGTGCTGGGATTACAGGTTTGAGCCACTGCACCTGGCAGATTTGACTTTTTAAAAAATGAGTGGATTTTTGTCTTTTAAAAAAAAAAATTTAATTTTTTATTCTTTACCTTTAATATATAATTTGTTTGAGATAGTAAAATGAAATAACATATTAAGTGGAACATTTAATTCATTTTCAACCTAAATGTTTGATGTCTTCTTCCCTTTTGTTGTTTACAGGATCTATACATTGACCGTCCTTTACCCTATCTGATTGGGTCAAAGCTGTTCATGGAGCAAGAAGATGTAGGTCTTGGAGAGCTGTCTAGTGAAGGTATTCATCACCAAACATTTTTATTACTTTTAAATTTCTGTCTTAACTTTTTATGTTAAAATAATTTCAAACTTTAAATTAAAGTTGCAAGAGTAGTGTAAAGAATCCACATTTTATCTTTTTTTTTTTTTTGAGTTGGACTCACTCTGTTACCCATGTTGGAGTGCAGGGGCATGCTCATGACCACCGCAGCCTCGACTTGCTGGGCTCAGGTTATCCTTCTCCCTCAGCCTTCCAGGTAACTGGAACCACAGGCATGTGCCACCATGCCCAGCTAATTTTTTGATTTACTGTAGAGATGAGGTCTCGCTGGGTTTCCAAGGCTGGTCTTGAACCGTGGGCTCAGGTAATCCTCTCACCTTAGCCTCCCAAAGTGCTGGGATACAGGCGTGAGCCACTGTGCCTGGTTTATCATGTTTGTTTTATCATTCTCTCTCTATATACATATTTTTTTTCTTGAACCTATTCGGGAGATGTCATGCCCTGATACTTCTAAATATTTCTTTGTGTGTTTTCTAAGAACAAGGACATTCTCTTATCTAACCACACTATAATTACCAAAATTAGGAAATATTTCTAGACATAATTCTATTATCTTCCATCATAGTTACATCTTGCCATTTGTCCCAATAATGTCCTCTACAGTCTTTCTTTTGTTCTCTGGTCCCAGGACTCAATTAATCCAGGACTAGTCATGGCATTTTGTTGTCAAATCTCTCTAGTCGTATTTTAGTCTGATACAATTTCTCAGTTTTTCTTTGCTTTTCATTACCTTGACAACTTTGAATAGTAAAGGCCAGTATTTTTTTTTTTTTTATTTGTAATGAATAATTTTTTTTGGATAAGTATCTTGGAAGGAGATACTTTGAGACTACTCAAATATCGCATTCCTCACAAAGATGCTTTTAATTCTAGTAAATGGTTATAGATAGTTTTGTCAAAATTTGTGGGATGCTGTTGTGGTGGTTTGTGCTTTTGAGACGGAGCAAATGACATTTTTTTGTGAATATTTATGGTAAACCTTATTTCTTTTCAACAGAAGGTTCTGTAGGCAGTGATCGTGGCAGTATTGTGGACAGTGAAGAAGAGAAAGAGGAAGAGGTGAGGGCTGTTTGGTGTGGTTAGGTCATGGTGGGCAGGAAGCTTAGGATGTGTTTAGCAAGCTAAATAAATAACCTATTTGTGAATTAGCAATTTGTTTTCATAACACTTTTAACAGTAATAGAAGTCATATTCTAAAGTTTTTTTCCATGGGATTAGATTTCCTTTTTTTCTTATATATGAAATCAAGAAAAACTGCTTTTCTCTTTTTCACTGTTACCCTCCTTCCCGCCTTGCCACCAGATTCCTCTTTCTTCCAATATAGTTTCAGGAGAACAGCTTAGATATTTTGGTGGAATCTCTGCCTGGATATAGTCTTTGAGTATATTCTGTCTTAGAATAATTCTAGGGGAAAAAAATAAGTCTGCATTTAGAGCTCTTTTTTTTTGGCTATGAAACCTTTTAGACTAGAGGATGCCTAGAGGATCCACTGACATTTTGCTTTGCTGCCTCCTCTAGCACCTTCATATCCACAGAGCATAATCTGATGAGTAGGTATAGGGTTTCAGAGTCTGGGCCTTGACCATGGTTGTATCTGGAGTTGTTTTTTTAGATGGGGTATTTGTTATTGCAAAGGGCAGAACCATTTTGAAGGATGATTCTTGAGTATGAGATTTGTTTTTCTTTTTTGAGTTGGAGTCTCACTCTGTCATCTAGGCTGGAGTGCAGTGGCGTGCTTACGGCCACTGCAGCCTTGATCTGTTGGATTCAGGTGATCCTTCTACCTCAGCCTTCCAAGTAGCTGGAATTACAGGCATGCGCCACCACGCCCAGCTAATATTTTGATTTATTGTAGAGATGGGTTCTCGCCAAGTTGCCTAGGCTGGTCTCAAACCTGTGGGCTCAGGCAGTCCTCTCACCTTGGCCTCCCAAAGTGCTGGGATTATAGGTGTGAGCCACGGTGCCTGGCAAGAGTGCAACTCTTACTTAAGAGGTTAGAGCTGAAAGTGCAGGTGATATGAGTGGATTGTTAGACATGAACCACAATATTATGTTAATTGGAACAACACTTCACAATATTGCTAACTATTCATCTTTTCTGCATTTTGTTTTTTGAGTGGGAGTCTCACTTTGTCACCCAAGCTGGAGGGCAGTGACACGCACATGGCCACCTCAGCCTCATCCTGCTGGGCTCAAGTGATCCTTCTGCCAAGTAGCTGGAACCACAGGCATGCGCTATCATGCCCAGCTAATTTTTCTTTATTTATTATAGAGATGAGGTCTTGCCAAGTTGCCCAGGCTGGTCTCAAACCTGTGGGCTCCCAAAGTGCTGGAATTATAGGCATGAGCCACTGCGCCTGGCCTTTTTCCTGCATCTTGATATTTAAGGTGACCAGTAGTCTCACCAGCACAGATACGAAGTATCAGAACTTTTCCTCAACTTGACATAGAGTCAGGTTGCCCTAGATTTAGACCTAAAACTATTTCTGTGTCTCTGAGTAAAGCTTGTTTAACAACAAAGCATTTTTTCCCCAAAGGAGTCAGATGAAGATTTTGCCAATCACAGTGACAATGATCAAAACCGGGTAAGGCTCATGTATTGAAGTAACTTATTTTTAAATTTTAATTGAAGCATAACATATATTAAACTTACTTTTGCATGGTTATGACAAAGTAAGGATTTTTTAATGTTTTCAACTTTTTTCTTTAAGCATTTCATATATTTAGGCTTAATATCCTCTTTATATATATATATATATATTTAAAGTTTTCCTTTATAATTTATATTAATTTTCTTAGAAAACAAAGTAGTAAAAAACAAAACTGGTAAACAGAGACTCTAAAAGAAGGTCTGGATACCCAAATTGAACTATTTCACATGAATTCCCCCTCCTGTTTTAAAATTTAAGACAGTATAACACTAACATTAATGAACACTCACAAGGTGAAAGCTTCTAATCCTGCTGCTTTAGCACACTTATTTTAATTTTTGAATATCTAAGGGCATGTTATTTTCATAGGCATCTTTTACGTTAACTTAAGTGTTTCCTTGTCATTTAAAATAGTCTTTGTAATTTGCCTTGTACACTTCTATAATTTTAAACAAATACTGATATATAATACTGTTGTAGTCTCTAAATATGTATATACAGGAAATAGTTTATTTCTTGAGTTTTATTTTTGAGATAATGTTGCATTTAATATTTTCATGTATAGAAATTCTTTGCTTCTGTGAATTGCTTCTTAGAAATAAGGGGATGGTCTAGAGTTGTGTTAGTGGCTTTTGGTACTACTATCTGATGGATGTTCTAAATTACGGATTGCACATTGATTTTCCTACAATCTCATCAGCACTGGGGTGATGATTTTAGAGAAATATTTGCCATCATAATATATGTATAGTGGTGTATTGAGATAATCTCAATTTGCACTCTAATTCCCTAGTTGGAAAATATATTTTCACAAAAAAATTTCAACTATCAAATGAAAGATTTTGTACTTTTTGGTTGATACATGTATTCCCCTAGTTGTAATCACAAATGTGTTTGCACATCTATAATCAGTCTTGTTTCAGAGAATATTTATTTCTATAGAATTTACTATTAAGAGCCATAAATACAAAGTTTTTCAAATAGTGCAATATAGTGATTAGAAGCATTGCTTACTTATTTGTTTTTATTGTTAAAGATAGACTTTCTTTGTGTGTCACATCTAACCTCAGAGATAAGAATTAAATTAGATAATAAAATGCTTTTAGCATCATGCCTGGCACAGTTTATTGATTCAAACATTAAAACTTTTTTTTTGGGGGGAGGTTGGAGTCTCATTCTGTCACCCAGTTTGGAGTGGCATGCTCACGGCCATTGCAGTCTCGACCTGCTGGGCTCAGGTGATTCTTCCACCTCAACCTTCCAAGTAGCTGGAACCATAGGAATGTACCACCACGCCTGGCTAATTTTTCAATTTGTTGTAGAGATAAGGTCTCGCCAAGCTGCCCAGGCTGTTCTTGAACCCCTGGGCTCATGCAATCCTCTCACCTCCGCTTCCCAAAGTGCAGAGATTACAGGTGTGAACCACCACACCCTACTACAACATTTTTTTAGACTATAAATTATACATATCAGTGGCTACCATTGGACAAATCAGAACTTAACAGATAAGGCTAAGTTTGAGCCCTCTGATTCTTACCTTCTCTGCATACTTTTTAGAGGCAAATGGGATTATGATCTGGGAGTGTGTCTTTCCAACTCCTTTTTTTTTTTGTAAATATATCCATATCCATATGCATGGTTATGACAAAGTAGAGTGTGTGTGTGGAGGCAAGGTATCATGCTGAATTTGTCAGTCTTCACTTTTTTACTTGATCTACCTTGAATGGCTTTCTAGTTGTAATAGCTTATTCCTTTTAACCATTAGCCTGAGTTCTTATTAAGATAAGACTATACTTAGTTTGTTTATATTTCTTTAGTAATGGGCATTTTGAATATTTCAGTATTCTGCTTTTATATATTTGCTGTTACATTCTTATTAACTAATACATTTTTTTTGTTTAGGTTCTAAGTAAATCTTGTGTGTTATTTGTCCCTGCACATGTACTGCTTCATAGCTTGCTGCATTATGATAATCATCATTCTCATCTTAAAAAGCTGTTACCTTTTTGAAGGAAGAGCCAAAAAGCTAAGTGACACTATCACTTTTTAGCTTGATGATTGTATCTAATAGTTTTAATTTGATGTTTATATTCAGCACACCACACAGATGAGTGATGAAGAAGAAGATGATGATGGCTGTGACCTTTTTGCTGACTCTGAGAAGGAAGAGGAAGATATGGAGGGCATCGAAGAAAATACTAGACCTGTAAGAGAAACTGTTGACACATAATTGTAGTGTCTTGTTTTTGCATTATGGTTTTCATTTCATTTACACTTTTGAAAATAATGATGAGCATTCTGAATTGCTTCACAAGTACCACTTTCTTCTCTTAGAAATCAGGTCATTCAGAATATATTCATTTTCAGAGTTTTTAAGACCCTATTGCTCCTCTCTCTTCCCTCAAAGGGACATTTTGAGTCTTGTTTCCTAAGTGATCTGTATAGGGTACATATGTTTAAATTCATTTAATTAAACCCTAGTTTCTCCTCAATTCAATTTCTTTGCTCTTGTTTACATAATATTGTTAGGTGTCCAAAAGTAAACTGTACTAGTATGATACTAAAACATGATTCTTTTGGTCTCTTCTGCCTATAGAAAAGAAGTAGACCTACATCTTTTGCTGATGAACTGGCCGCTCGGATCAAAGGGGACGTGGCGAGCCGAATAGAAGAGGAGCAGACAGGTGAGCCACAGATACAAGTGGCTAGTGATGTGCAGGGCCCTCTCCTAACTTCACTTAGGGCAGATTTCCCTTTTTAGTTATTAAGGCAAAAGAGGCTTAAATTGTACTTATTATTCTTTTTTTAGTTTATAGACTCCTTAGGATAACAGAGCATTGTGGACCCACAAGAAACATGCATGTGTACACATCCAGATAGCACTACACATATAATTTTTGGGATTAATGGAGACCCCAGAGAACCATTGGCATCAATTTAAGAATTCCTGGCTCGATAGTTATAAGAATAACTATCTTATAGACAAGGCATTGAGTTAAGTACTCTGGAGTCGAATGTCTTGCTCTTAGCTTATGAATCATGAGGATGACAGATTGTAAAGAATCAGTATATACATTTATACACACACACACACACACACATATACACATATACACATATACTCTTAGAGTAGACTATTGTTAAAACTGAAATATTCTTCAAACTTTATCCTCAGGAGAAGCAAAATCTCAGAAGACACTGAAAGAGAAGAAGGAAAGAACTCCTTCAGATGGTAGATCTTTTCCTTCAATTCTTATTATTTTGGAAGCTTTTTGACTCAGGAGTGTTGCTTACATAACTCATAAAGTGTTACTTTCAATGCTGACAAATGGGGTCTGTCTCCATTTACTTTTTCATAACATCAAAAAGCATGTTTTGGGATGCTGGGAGGAGAGATGGGTGTGGAGTAAAAATGTGAGGATTAGAATTTTAAGATTTTATAGTAATTATTGCCTGTCTTTCTCGAATTATCTAGAAATAGAAATAGAAAATAGAAACTTTTTAGTATTTGTTTTCAGTAAAGACTATATCAAGCCCTTTTATTTTAAATAGTAATGCTCATTGTGTCCCACTCATCATTGTATCAGTTTGCAGATCTCTTTGTTCTGTCTTCACTTCCCTCAGATTCTTGGGAGGATAGGTCTTGAATTTGACAATTGAACTATATATCTATTTCATTTTTTTTTTTTTTTTGAGTTGGAGTCTCACTCTGTCACCCAGACTGGAGTGCAGTGGCCACTCCCGGCCACCGCAGCCTCGGCCTGCTGGTGATCCTTCTGCCTCAGCCTTCCGAGTAGCCGGAATTACAGGCATGCGCCACCACACCCAGCTGATTTTTTGATTTATTGTAGAGATGAGGTCTCGCTGCCCAGGCGGGTCTCGAACCCACGGGCTCAGGCAATTCACTCACCTCAGCCTCCCAAAGGCGCGGGATTACAGGCTGAGCCACCGAGCCCGGCTCTGTATATCTATTTCAAAGTAAACAAGTCTAAATGAAGGGACTTGCCTAAAAGAGTTCACTCTGTCTGCTCCAGACATTGAAAGACCTGAGAGTGAGAGCCCAGAGAACCTTTTAAGGTCTTCATTGGACTGTTGAGTGGGTTTTTTTTTTTTTTTTTAAATTCATCAGATTGCCCTTATTAAATATGGTTAGATAAACTCCATGCCAGTTTTGGAAGTATAGAAGCCAACCCTGGGTATTTGGGTTCCAAAACCATCTTTAACACTCCCTGCAAAACCTTGCTTTCCATTTGCTAGATGAAGAGGATAACTTATTCGCACCCCCTAAGCTGACTGACGAGGACTTCTCCCCATTTGGCTCTAGAGTTGGCCTGTTCAGTGGAGGCAAGGGACTTTTTGATGATGAGGAGGAGGAGGTGAGTCAGTAGTACTCAGCAATGCTTTCTGTAGCTGTGTCATGGGTCCAGGAAAGAAATACACTTTTTGCCTTTAGTGGAGAAAAAAATGGTTTCTCAGTTGGCGGTTGGTTGTACTTTCATATTTTGGGGGATATTGTAAACTGAGAATCACAGTGACAAATACTGTATCCTGATGTTCTTTCTTAGGTGAGAAGAGGATGTGAGTGTGTTAATAGTGAAGAATTTACTTGACTAGTTGATTATATGTTGTCTTTTTCCATCTTTGTATTTAATTCCTAGACAGGCCTAGATTATTTAAGGGTCTGATTTTGCCGTGGCTTTCAATTTGCAACTGATTTTCTGCCAGAACAGTAAATATGTAGATTTAAATTTTGTAAGTTACTTTTCCTTGGAAATTTTCAAATGCAGCTACACTTTCCCCTGCTTTTTTGAATTCGTTGTCATGTACTTTATTACAACCAGAGTGACCTCTTCACGGAAGCTCCTCAGGAACGGCAAACTCCAGCTTCCGGTAATGAAGGTAAGCTGGGATTGGGGCCACCTCTGTTTTTTGGAGCAAAGAGTTCAAATAAGTTTCTTTATTAGGAGATGGCAGCCTGAAGTTGTTCCTACGCCTTATTTCTCTGTTAAGCAAGAAGCTGTTGTTTTTATCTTTGTCCATTTAAAGCAGTTTATCTTTACTAATTCATGTCTTGGAAAAAAACAGTACCATCTATGAACCCACATCACAGGTTGCTTTTTTCTTAGGAGATACTTCATAAAAAGTTAGATGGGAAAAGTACTCTATAGCAGAGTTGAAGTTGAGGTTGTTTTTAATCTAATGAAGTTTTTCTTTTTTGAGTTGGAGTCTCACTCTTTTGGCCAGGCTGGAGTGCAGTAGCATGCTCTTGGCCACCGCAGCCTCAACCTGCTGGGCTCAGGTGATCCTTTCACTTCAACTTTCAGTGTAGCTGGAACTGCAGGCATGTGTTACCACGCCCAGCTAATTTTTTGATTTATTGTAGAGACTAGGTCTCTACAATAAATAAAGTCTGTTGTCCAGGTTGGTCTCAAACCTGTGGACTCAGGCAATCCTCTTGCCTCTTCCTCCCAAAGTGCTGGAATTACAGGGATGAGCCACTGTGCCCGGCCAATTTAATGAAGTTTGAAGAAATATTTCTAACATTCTGCATATAAGTTGGGGACTAATAATTCTCCAACCTGGTGTGTATCACAGTTATCTGTGTAGTTTTTAAAAAGCACAAATATATATGTGTGTAAGTATATATGTGTGTGTGTGTGTATATGTGTGTGCACACATACACACATATATTTATTTTTTTGAGTTGGGAATCTCGCTCTGTCGCCCAGGATGGAGTGTAGTGGCACGCTCACAACCGCCGCAACCTCTACCTGCTGATCTCAGGCTATCCTTCCACCTCAGCCTTCCAAGTAGCTGGAATTACAGGCGCGTGCCACCAAGCCCAGCTAATTTTTTGATTTATTGTAGAGATGAGGTCTCACCAAGTTGCCCAGGCTGGTCTCAAACCCCTGGGCTCAGGCAGTCCTCTCACCTCAGTCTCTCAAAGTGCTGGGGTTATAGGCGTGAGGCTCTGTGCCCTACCTATATATGTATTTTTTGAGTTGGAGTCTTACTCCCTCGCCCTAACTGGATACAGTGTCATGCTCACAGCCACTCCAGCATCGACCTGCTGGGCTCAGACGATCCTTCCGCCTCTGCCTTCCAAGTAGCCGTATCTATAGGCATGCGCTACCAACCCGGCTAATTTCTTATTTTATTGTAGAGATGTGGTCTCGCCAAGTTGCCTGGACTGGTCTTGAACTTGTGGGCTCAGGCAATCCACTTGCCTCAGCCTTCCAAAGTGCTGGGATTATAGACTGAGCCACTGAGCCTGGCTGCATACATATATTTAAACCAACAAATTTCATTCCATTAGGTTTGTGGTAGTTCCTGGGAATTAGTTATTTTAAGTGACTCAGCCTTCTAGGTACATGTCATCAGAGTTGGGGGTCTCAGAAGCCCCTCCTCTTGCTTGCTATGCTGGCGACCCACCTGGCTGCCCTCCAGTTTCTGCTCCTCACATTTTGGCATCAGTAACTTGCCTAATTTCCCTCTCTTTGTTCTTATTGTCTTCATTTTTTTCACTGATGTCTCACTTTTTGCTGCTCTTTTTACTTGTTTATTCTCATCAAATTGGAATGGGTAGAGCTAGAACCATTTTGGGGAGCCCTGGTCATGCTATCCCTGCCTCCCCAGCTGTCTTGCCATCTTCCTTCTCCTCCCCAGCTAACCCCACTGCTGTTGCTTTACCATAGTCAGCATGATTTTCCATGGTTCACAGCTCAGATTATATTCACCCCAAGAAAAAAGTCTTGACATTGGTAGAGAAGAGAATACTAAGGAATTTTTAAATGACTTGTTTAGGAAAAATTATTTTTATTTTTATTTTTCTTGAGTCAGGGTCTCACTCTGTTTGCCCAGACTGGAGTACAGTGGCACAATCATGTCTCACTGCAGTCTCAATGTCCTGGGCTCAGAAGATTCTTCTGTTTCAGCCTCCTGAATCGCTGGGACTACAGGCATGTGCCACCATGCCTGGCTAATTTTTTTATTTGTTGTAGAGACAAGGTCTCACTATGTTGCCCAGGCTGGTCTCGAACTCTTGGGCTCAAGCAATCCTCCCACCTTGGCCTCCCAAAGTGCTGGAATTATAGGCATAAGCCACCATGCCCAGCAGAATTAGTTTTAAAAGGTCTCCTATTAGCCATGTGGTATGTTGCACATATTTCAGGAAGGTGGGTTTAACAAGGAAGTTACTTTCTTTGTAAAATGGTTATCCCCTTTTTTCTCATTCTAGAGTCTTCATCCTCCAAACCTGGAAAGAAAATCCCAGCAGGAGCTGTTTCTGTATTTTTAGGTACCATAACTTAGGCTTTACTTTTCAAAAACAATACAAATACTATTTTTTTTTATTGTTTAAGTTGTCATCTAGGTTATAGAAACAGCTTGTTTGCTATTGTTAGCTTTTATTCTCCTAAAAATCAGTGACCTTGGACTTTTTTGTGTTTGGGTGACCAGTGATTCTGCACTGTGAGACATTCTCTACCAGTAAAGGATAGAGGTTATTAGGCCCTGTTAGTGTGTTTTGTGGATGAACTGAGACTAAAAAGTTCTTGGTGGATGGTTCTGCTCTTTTTCATTTTCTTCTTTTTTTTTTTTGTCACCTAAACTGGAGTGCAGTGGCATGCTCATGGCCACTGCAGCCTTGACCTGCTTGGCTCAGGCAATCCTTCTACCTCCCCCTTCCAAGTATCTGGAACTACAGGCACATGCCGCCATGCCCAGTTAATTTTTTGATTTATTGTGAAGACGAGATCTTGCCAAGTTGCCCAGGCTGGTCTCAAACCCTTAGGCTCAGGCAGTCCTCTCAACTCTGCCTCCCAAAGTGCTGCGATTACAGGTGTGAGCCACCGCACCCATCTGCTTTTTTCCATAAAGACAAGAGGCCCACACTAGTGCTCAGCTGTGGCTGACTTGTTCCCTCATCCACAGGGGACACTGATGTGTTTGGTGCTGCTTCTGCTCCATCACTGAAGGAACCCCAGAAGCCTGAGCAGCCCACTCCAGGGAAGAGCCCCTACCTCCCAGCTCCTGCTGGCCTTTTTGATGATGATGATGACGACGATGACTTTTTCACAGCATCCTGCAGCAAACCTTCCAAAACAGGTACCTGTTATAGCCTCTATTTCTGGGAATTTAGCCCGAAAAAGAATATTGGCTTAAAAAGGACATAGGCTCCCCTAGTTCTGTGTGTTTTGTAGTACCAGAATCCCTTCTCAAGCATTCCTGTTATTGAATTGTCTCGTCTGTATTTAAATAATTATGGTGATTTGCAGGCCTCTATTTCATGAGCCACTCTTCACTGCTCTGGAAACTAATTACTAAGATTATCTTCCTTTGGAGAGCTGAAATCTTTTCCCCTATAACTTTGCTTAAAATTTCTAGTTCTGACCTTTAGAATTATGGAGAAAGTTTTAATCATACGTTATTCCAGCAGTCCTTAGTAAATTGCATGAGTAGCTTGTCATGTGCTAGCTGTTTAGTTCCCAACTTTTCTTTTCTCTGCCAAAAAGCACAGGTGTCCTTAACCTTTCCTCGCATGACAGGGTTTTCAATTCCTTGACCACCTTGGCACTCTCCTTTCAAACATAAGTTTGTATGTTCAGGGAGTCATTCCTTTAAAACCATTTGTTTTTTAATTTGCAGATAAATCTTCCAGGGGCTCTTGTCAAAATGAAGGCTCTGATTCAGTGGGTCTAGATTCATTGTGTGCTTTGCCAGAAGAGAAAGATTACTAAGGTGCTCACAGTTTCCAGCAACTTGGAAAAGGAAAGGATTACATTAGGAATAGATTGAACCAGAATGCGGTTAGAAGCAGGCTGTCTGGATTTAACTCTCCTTTTCTACTGTTAGGTGTAGAAAGTAAGGATGGAAGCAGAAGTGTGAGGGGAAAAAATAGCCATGTTATTCTAGAAAAAGTACAAAAGGATGCATAATACATAAATCTAGGCTAACTACGATAATGATGCATGAAGGTGGTAATGCTTCTTGTAGCTCTGAGGGACTCTCACTTAGGGGATATCTTTGAGAACTGGTTTAGAATCACCAATAAGTTGATCACTTTCTTTGATGATGACATTCATGAGTCAGTGCCCTTGTTTCAGTAACTTTTACCTCACTCTGTACAGCAATGCTTGTGGTGGTGAAAGGTTGGAAACTACCCAAATATTCATCATTAGGGTAAGCTGTGGTCCTTCCATTCAGTGGAGTTTTTTTGTGTATATGTATTGTGGTCTCACTCACTGCCCAGGCTGGAGTACAGTGGTACCATCATGACTCAGGAGCCTTGAATTCCTGAGCTCAGCCCATCCTTCCACCTCAGGCTCCCGAGTAACTGGTACTAGAGGCATGCACCGCTACAACAAGCTAATTTTTTGATTTTTTTCTGTAGAGGTGAAGTCATGCTATGTTGTCTAGGCTGGTCTTGAACTCCTGGGCTCAAGCAATCCTTTTGCATTGTCCTCCCAAAATGCTGGGGTTACAAGCGTGAGTCACCATGCCTGGCCCATTCAGTGGAATTGTGTGAAACTGTTAAAAAGAATGAGGGCTATGCATGCTGATTTTGGAAGATTTTCTAAGTGCATTAAGTGGAAAATGCAAATGGTAAGATGTCTTATAATTTATAACCTTATTTGTGAATAACTAAAGTTAACTCATTAGTATGTCCTTTGGGGGGAATTAGAAGCATGTATACTGTTAAACTGTTGTGTACTGTTAAGCATGTATACTTTAAACTGTTTCCTGTCTTCACCTTGTTGAGTGAGCAGGTGAGGAGTTATGAGAGGATTTCAGTATTTGCTTTTATTTGCTTCTGTATAGTTTGATTTTCTAAAAGCAGGAGCCAACCCTCACTTCTCAGATTCCTTGAATGGTTGACTTAGAAGCCCTCTCAAATGATCTTTCTTCCTGTAGGTTTCTTTACCTTTTAGGCCAGTCCAAGCTACTGTAAGCATAGGATGCTGCTGCTTTGATACGTTTGTCAGTCAGATGATTAAACCATCTGTCCTGTGTTTCAACTGATCTGATGGTTTGTTCTTTGAAAAATTCTAAGGGAAGAGTGTTTTTATTTGTAATTAATCAAGAAATGACATACCTTTCTATTTATTCTTTGATAGGAAAGAGTTTTTAATCTATGAATTTTGTGGTAGGATTTTTGACGTAAGTGTAATTTTGTGCCTTGATATCTTTTTAAAGGTAAAGTCCAATCCACTGCTAGTATATTTGATGAGGAAGAAGGAGATCTGTTCAAAGAAAAATCAGGGGCATTGCAAAAAGCTACTGTGAATCAGACAGAAGAAAGTAAAGAAAGAGCAGAAAAAAAGGTGAGCAGGAGAAAAGAATGAATGAAGAAGTGTTGATCTGGGGCATCTTATTAATTTAGGTAGAACTCAAAAGAAAATATTGTTCACTTCCATATTTGCATTCAAGAACTTCAAATAAAAAGTGGAAAGAAGGGTACACCTATGTAACTACCACTCAGATTTGGCAATTGTTAGGATTTTGTCAAACTTTTTTTTTTTTTGAGTCCGAATCTCACTGTCACCCAGATCGGAGTACAGTGACACGCTTCCGGCCACCGCAGCCTCTATCTGCTGGGCTCCGGCGACCCTTCCGCCTCAGCCTTCCAAGTAGCTGGAACTACAGGTGTGCACTACCATGCCTGGCTAATTTTTTATTTATTTATTGTAGAGACGAAGTCTCGCCAAGTTACCCCGGCGGGTCTTGAACCCGCGGGTTCAGGCAATCCACTCGCCTCGGCCTCCCAAAGTGCTGGGATTACAGTTGCCAAACATTTTATGTATATGAAGCCTACTACATATAAATTTTTTCCTGAACTATTTGCATGTTAGTTATTTGAACTATTTGCATGGAACTGTTTTCATGTAGTCATTGTGACATTTTACTCCTAAATATTTCATTAAGCATATCTTGAAAAGATTCCCATATAACCAAAATGCCATTATCAACAGCTATAAGGTTAACAGTAATTCTATCATAGACTGTTATATCCAGTCCATATTCATGTTGTTCCAGTTTTCCCCAAAATATCTTTGTAAAATCACACCCAGAAAATAAAATGCTGACTTAAAATGATCTCACATACAGTGCATATTCCAGTTTCCTCTTTTGTCCCCCAAATGTCTTTTCTTTTCTTTTCTTTTTTTTTGTGTAGGTGTCTTACTCTGTTGTCCAGGCTGGAGTGCAATGACATGCTCATGGCCACTGCAGCCTTGACCTGTTGGGCTCAGGCGATCCTTCTGCTTCAGCCTTCCAATTAACTAGAACCATAGGCATGCACCATCATGCCCAGCTAATTTTTGGGATTTATTGTAGAGATGAGGGCTCACCAAGTTGCCCAGGCTGATCTCGAACTTGGAGGACTGTCTTAGGCAGTCCTCTTGCCTCTGCCTCTCAAAGTGCTGGTATTATAGGCGTGAGCCACTGTGCCCGGCCTTTTAAAATAAAATATATATATATATATATATATATATATTTGAAGAAACCCATATATATATTTATATATATTTAAAGAAACCCAAGATCTTGGTAATATGTCTGCATTGCATTTGGTTGTCCTGTCTCTTTGATCTCCTTTTAATCTAAAGCAATTTTCTTGTGGAGTGTTACATTGTGAATTTGCTTGATTGTATTTCACTATTAGATTCAGGTCAAGTATTTTTGGCAAGAATACTGGCAGGCAAGGTTGTGCACTTCCATTGTATCCCCTCTCAAGACACATCAGGTGCACTGTCTCCTCTGTGGTGATGGAGTTTTGTTACTTGGTTAATATGGTGCCAATCACACCACTTCATTGGAAAGGTGCCCTGTTCTGTCATTAATAAGTTGATCTCTAAAGTGGTACTTGGGCACCACTGTGTAAATATCTATTCTTTGCCAGTCTTTAGCTTAGTGGTTTTAACATCCATTGATGATGTTTTCCTGAACCAATTTTCCTGTTAGTGGGTACAAAAGGATGTTTTTCAAATCCTACATTTCTTCTACATTTATTGACTGGTGTTCGTCTGAATAGAACTTTCTCTTCCTTTCCTTCCTTGCGTTTTTATTGTCACTTTGGGATCATGGAATTATTTATTTAATGTATGATGATCCATTACTATCATTATTATTATTTTTATTTATTTATTTTTTGAGTTGGAGTCTCACTCTGTCGCCCAGACTGGAGAGCAGTGGCCACTCCCAGCCACCGCAGCCTTGACCTGCTGGGCTCCGGCGATCCTTCCGCCTCAGCCTTCCAAGTAACTGGAACTACAGGCATGTGCTACCACGCCTAGCTAATTTTTTTTGATTTATTGTAGAGATGAGGTCTCGCCAAGTTGCCCAGGCGGGTCTCGAACCCGCGGGCTCAGGCAATCCACTCACCTCAGCCTCCCAAAGGTACGGGATTACAGGCTGAGCCACCGAGCCCGGCCATTATTATTACTTTTTTATGGCTTAGATTGACCTGCATTTGGCCAGTGGCCGCATGCCCAGCAGTCTTAAAGCCCTTCTGGCTGCTCTCCTATCCAACTTGTCCCTCCTCTATCTAAAGCACGTCCCATCGTGTCATGTCCTGTGAAACCCTGACTTTCCTCTGCTGACTACATTGGGCCCAGCATTCAGAATCTGGTAGGCTCTCCTGCAACCTGCCTTTCCTTGCTGTTTCTGACTGCACATGTCCCATCAGTGCACTGTATAATGTGGTGCTCAATATACCAGATGTGGCTTCTGCTTTATCCTGCTGTTCTCTTCTTACATGGCTTCCTTGGCCTGGAGCATCCTTGCTTGTATCATCCCCTATTTCTATGCATTGTCTGTCCTGAACCATCTACTTTCTCACAGAGTAGTTTCTTTTCTGTTTCCTAACTTATACTAATTTTTACATTCTTTCTCGTGATACTTCTTTGTGTGAATTTTATACACACTGAAGGTCCAAGGCGTTTTGGTTCCCCAGGTGCCTACCTTGATGCCTACCACAGCATAGACTCAGTTCATTATCTGAATGGATGATTGAGTAAACCCTCATTTCTTGATATCTTATTTTTAATCTTCAATTTTTTCCCCCAACAAAGGTTACCCTACCTTCCAGCAAAAATCTCAAACCTTCGTCAGAAACAAAGACTCAGAAAGGCTTATTTTCAGATGAGGAGGACTCCGAGGTATGGAATTATTTTTCTTCATTGTTAGTTTTATGGATATTAATTTATGGATAGGGCATTCAAAACTATTTCTGAACAGATTTTTCTCAGTAGAAATATAAGACTTTTTGTTAAGTACTTCAGTTCTTACATTCATTGTCTAAACATACAGTCTTTATTTTTTTGAATCAGAGTCTTCTGTCACCCAGGCTGGAGTGCAGTGGCACAATCATGGCTTACTGCAGCCTCGACCTCCTGGGCTCAGGCAATCCTTTCGCCTTAGCCTCCTAAATAGCTGGGACTACAGGTGTGTGCTGCCAGCCATGGCTAATTTTTTAATAGAGACGAGGTCTCACTGTTTTGCCCAGACTGGTCTCAAACTCCTGGATTCAAGCAGTCTTCCTGTCTCGGCCTCCCAAAGTGCTGGGATTATAGACGTGAACCACCACGTCCAGTTGGGAACATATGGTCTTTAGAAAGCAATATGTTTATAGTACTTTTCACGTGGCTTTGAATCTATTGCATTTCATGGAAGGAAAATATTTTCTCTTCAGGAAGCACATAGTTTAGGCTGCTTATTGGTCCACGAGATGAGGCACTTGTACCAGATGGAAGTCACCATGCTGCTTCCTTTACTGACATTCTCACTATGGCTTGGTGCCATAGGGTACGAATTCTGTTATAGCCTTTTGTCTTGTGACTGCTAACAGGCAATTGCCTTGATCCCTTTAGGAGCACCAGAACCAGCACTCAAAAGCTTCACTACTTTTACTGACTCCCTCTGGCCTAGATCCTTATAGGAATTCTAAATTAGCCTTTTAGGGGATTGGAGACCTGTATGAGAATGTAATGGGAAGTAATAAGTCCCCTTCACAGAAAAATATGTGGATATTGCAGAAATTTACATGTAATTTCAAGAAACTGGACTCTAGGTTTTAGGATCTCATGGTTGGATTTTGCACTCACAGACAGGATGAACATGTAACACTTTGGGGGTGTAGAGTGATTACTCTCAAAGTAAACAATACCTTTGAGCTTATACTTCATTGAAGGTTAGGGTACAAAGGATGGGAATTAACTAAAGTCCAGTTAAGCCACACTCCTGACCTATGAGGCACAGTGTGATGGGTTCTGCACTTTTTATGTTCATGCTCCCCATGTGCCACTTGCACACCTTCATCCTGGGGTCTCTGCACTGGCTCTTGCTGCTCCATTGAATGCTTTTTTCAGAATCTGGATGTCTTGCTTCTTCATTGTCTGTGAGGCCTGGATGACCTACATGCAACAGCAAGTGTGGCAGCACACTGCACTCCTTGTCCCTTCTTCTATTTCATTGTTCACCACAGCACATGTCACGGGTACAGTGTATATTTACCAATTCATTGTCTCTACCCCCAATTAGGGTAAACTGCATGAAGGTGGAACATTTCATTTCCTGCTTGTATCCCTAACACCCTGTCTCTAATACTAGTGCTTGGCATGTATTAAGTCATCCAGTAATTGTCAACTACATGAAAAAACTAAATGTGAACCATTCCAGTGACTTGCAAGGTGTTCTCACTATTGCTGTGAAAAAAGTCACATCAAAAACTTAGTTGTTTAAAACACCAATAGTTTTAAGAGGTTGACTAGATTCAGCTAGGCCATTGTCACTGAGGGTCTCTTCGTTTCTGAAAGTGACTTGACTGAGAATCAGCTTATCCATTTGTCTGGTGCCTGGTGACTGGGGCCCCTGGGATATTCCTTTTCTAACCCTGTGTGGCCTTCCAGCATGCAGCTTCAGGGAAGCCGGAACTCTTACATGGTAGCTCAGGGCCACATGGGAGACTTCTGAGAAAGAGCTGGGTAGAGCCGTATGACCTTCTGTGTCACGGTCTTGGAAATCAGTGGTGTTCCTTCTGCCACATTTATTGATCAAGGCAGAAGGCAGTCACAAAGGCCCACCTAGGTTTAAGGGTAGAGACCGTAGACTCCACTTCTTTTTTTTGAGGGGAGTGGGGGAGTGCTTCTTCATTCTGTTGCCAAGGCTGGAGTGTAGCAGGCATGATCGGGGCTCACCGTAGCCTCAGCCTCCTGTGCTCAGGCAATCCTCCTGCCTCAGCTTTTCCAGTAGCTGGAACTAAAGGTATGCTTCACCATGCCCAACTAATTTTTTTATTTTTTGTAGTGACAAGGTCTCGCTATGTTGCCCAGGCTTGTCTTGAACTCCTGGGCTCAAGCAATCTTGCCTTGGCCTTCCAAAGGTTGGAATTACAGGTGTGAGTCCCCACGCTCAGACTTCACTTCTTGATGGTAGGAATGTAAATGAATTTGCAGACTTGTTTAAAAAGTCTCACCCAAGACTTTACCCCATGTGCACCATCACAGAGTGAATGTTTTCGTTGGATGTTGTCAGGATTCTTAGGCAGTCTAGGAGGTAGATAAAGCTTTGAACCAGAAGAAATGCTTTTTCACTCCTGCCTCTGGTATCCCAGAGTTGAAGTTCAACTTCAGACTTCAACTTCAGTGGAGTTGAAGTTTGCCCTGTGAAGTCGTTTTGGGAGACATGTTTGAGTTAATGGAAATGTCTTTTTTTTTCATTTCAAGTAAAGTATTAATTTAAGGGTCCAAAAGCATGACATTGAAATTTGGTTTTCTCTTTGCTTTGGTATCCTTTTATTTTCTTAAAGCAACAGAGTCCTTTCTTTTGCCAATATGTAAAATGCAGGAGGGGCTTAGGAAGCCTGGAGCTCACTGTGTGGCCTCTTCTACCTAAATAATCTCATGGGACTCTGTAGAGCACAGGTGAAAACCACTGTGCTGAGTAGAGGTCTCAGTTGGTAAGCTCATTGGGTCTGTATTTGAGGACTAGACTGATTCTTTATTTTAAAAAATTGTCCAAAAAGGTTTGATAAAATATGTTCTTGTTTTATTTAATTGTCTGGCTCTTATGTATTAGAGTTTCTTTTCCCAAGGGATTAGCTGTCCTATTACATGTTTCTAATTCACACAGCTCAATTTGCAGATCCCTCTTTGCAGGATAGGCTGAGATTTTCTAATACAACATTTGAAAATTTCTTGGAATCTAGCAGGTCTGCTCCTGATTTGCAACATCTTGCAGCTATAGTTCAAGTAGAATAGCAAACATTTTAAAATAAAAATTAATTTATATTTATTTAATAAATTACTCTCATAATCTTAGGACTGTCATAATCTTACTAAATAAAACAGTTGTAGAGCCAGTAATTTGGAAATCTAGCCTCAGTTTCCTTTACTGACTCTGTTTAATCTCTCTGATTCTTGAGACAAAAAAAAAAAAAGGAAGCCATTTTTTTCTTTCTTTTTTTTTCTTAGCACGGTAGGACATTGATTAGAAAACTTCCTACCTTATATCATATCATGCGGGAGGGAATACAGAAGTTTCTAGGCTCCTTGTAGCCACTTGGATTCTGTGGCTCTCCTTCTTACAGTCAGGCATTTGAATTGCACACACCCTGGGCAGACTCTGAGGCCTGTCCCTTTAAGGACTCTGTCTGAACTACCTTCTCTCTCATGAAAGAAACCTAGATACATGGCAGCCTTCATATCCCAGTCTTTAGTGTTTTATATTGACCTGATATTTAAAAAACTGAAATCCCCTGTTAACCAGCAACTTTGATCTCAATCCAACAGGACTTGTTTTCTTTTCAAAATGAGAGTAAGGTAAAAGGTGCATCTCTGCCATCTAGCAAGCACCCCACGACGGTCTCCCTGTTTGATGATGAAGATGAAGAGGTAACATTGTTATTACAACACTGGATAATTAACTTTTAGATTAATAGAAAACTGTTGTTGATGTAACTTTATAGCCAGAGAGGCTTATACAGTAGAAAAAGGTGACAGAGAATTCAGGCTACTTGAGGCTCAAATAACAAAAATATTTCTGTTTTTATTTTAGTGACTCCTTCCTTAAGTTTACCTAGCTGTAAAATGAGAGGACTTTAGACTCTTGACCTAATTCTTGTGGAAAGCTTTATAGATTTCTTTTTTTTTTTTTGAGCTGGGGTATCAGTCTGTCACCTAGGCAGATTATGACAATCTTGGCTCATTGTTGCCTCTACCTCCTGGGCTCAGGTGATTCTTCCACCTCAGCATCCTCAGTAGCTGGGACTACAGTCATGTGCTACCACACCTGGCTAATTTTTTTTTTTTTTTTGTAGAGACAAGGTTTCACTATGATGCCTAGCCTGGTCAGGGTTCAAGCAATCCGCCCGCCTTGGCCTCCTAAAGTGCTGAGGTTATAGGCATGAACCACTGTGCCTGGCCTATAGCTCTTGTTTATTTATTTATTTACTTATTTATTTATTTTTGAGTTGGAGTCTCCATTGCCAGGCTGGTCTTGTACCTGTGGGCTCAGGCAGTCCTCATACTTCAGCCCCCCCAAAGTTCTGGGATTACAGGCTTGAGCCACTGCGCCCAGCAAATTTTATTTTTAAAAAATCTGCTTTTTGAGAAGTACAGTTGACCCTTGAACGAAAATTCGCATATAGCTTTTGACTCCCCTAAAACTACTAATAGACTACTATTGACCAGAAGCCTTGCCGATAACATAAAACAGTCAACTATATAAATTTTATGCATTCCTAATTTTTTGATATTTCTAGGCTGTGTAGTTCGTCTGAGTTTCCTAAAATTGTCACAAATATCCAAAAAAATTTTCCAGTATATTTATTGAAAAAAATCCACATTTAAATGGACCTGGGCAGTTCATACCCATGTTGTTCAAGGGCCTGCTGTACTTTTTAGAGGGTGAATCCTTATTATACCCAATGATCTTCAAGAATGTCTTGGAACATTCTTGGGAGTGGAAAGGAGACGGTAGCCATGTTCTTACCTTGCCTTTTTTTTTCTAAAAGTAGGGGAGAGAAATAAGCAGACAAACCAAACCTTAACCCTTATATAGTACTGTGCAGTGACTGAGCTTATGGGCCTTGACTTCAGACCCTTGGGTTCATATCCCAGCTCCATTACTTACTAGGGACCTTGGGCGAATAACTTAATCTTTCTTAATCTCATGCGGCTTAACAGTGAATAGAGACCTTGTGCCAGCTATAGCAAATAACTAGTGTAAAGCCTTTGGCACAGTGCCTGGCACATAGTAAGTGCATAGTGAATGTGAGTTCTTATCATTTATCCCCATTGGACACCAGCTCATGATTCTCCTGGCCTTTCCTACCTTACCACGCTCTCCTTAAATGCTCCCTATTCTGTCTTTACATTTCAGGACTGTTCACCTGCTGTTGTAAGTTGTTAAAGAGTGTTTTTTTCCATCCTAACTCAGGCACAGACCCTCCGGTGCTTTTGTTCCCATTACCTTAGTAAAAACACCTTAATAGATAACTTTTGGAGTGCTTGACTACACAAGAATTTACAAATGCCATTGTGCTTAGAAGAATCAATCTTTAGTATGCCAGCGGTTTTATTTAGCAGTCTATTTCTTAACTTTGCATTGCCACTTTTTTTTTCTGAGTTGGAGTCTCACTCTTGTCTCCTAGACTGGAGTGCAGTGGCACACTCACAGCCTCTGCAGCCTTGACCTGCTGCTGGCTTAGGCGATCCTTCCATCTCAGCTTTCCAAGTAACTGGAACTACAGATGCACACCACCACGTCCGGCTAGATTTTGTGATTTATTGTAGTGACAAGGTCTCATCAAGTTGCCTGGCTGGTCTTGAACCTCCGGATTCAGGCAATTCTCTCACCTTGGCCTCCCAGAGTGCTGGAGTTACGGGCTGAGCCACTGCTCCTGGCTTGTATTGTCTCTTAAAATTGACTAGAGATACAAATCATTCCTTTTCTTCATCCCAGGTGTGTGTCTTTCTTAGCTGTAAATGAGTGGAGATAGCCCCCTAGTTCTCTTTTTTTATTTATTGCTCTGGTTTCTAATTCATAGAAAGAGAGGTGAGAGTTGCCAGCCGATGCAGGGGCGCCCATGCCTACTGCAGGCTCTAGGCCCCTGTGGAAAGCAGAGAGGCATCACCCACAGGAGACTGGATGAGCCCAGTACTCCTTGTACTTCTGTGACCTTATCCATACGTTTCCCTTCCTCTTTCTCCCTCCCAGGTGTTCTGCCTTCAATTTCTTTGGTAATCTCTTTCCCTCTTGTAGGTAGAGAATGCAGTGAGAAAAGGCTGTAGAGTGGAATTTGCTAGCATTTTGTGATTCCCTCTCCCCCCACCAGGTATGATATTTTGCACCTGACTGGAGAATTATTCCCTAACAGTTTGATTGGGAGATCATCTTACATTTTCTGTTTTATGTGTATGGAGTTGTCATACCTTTCTGTCATTTTTTTTTCTAGGATAATCTTTTTGGGGCTACGGTTGCTAAGAAACGGACATCGTCTCTACAAACACAGAGTCAAGAGAAAGCAAAACCCTCTGAGCTCTCCAAAAAGAAAGCATCTGCCTTGTTGTTCAGCAGTGATGAGGAGGTGGGTTAAAGTTTCTTCTAAATGAGAGATTTTTTGATGGGATTGAAGTTACAGCTATTTGAAACATTTTATTTTTCTACCTAGTTTATAACTAGTGATATTCAGTTACCAACGACGATGTTCACATTATAATTTGTTAAAAAAAGTATTTAGTGTAACATATTAATTTAAAGATTAATATTTTCAAAATGGTTGGGGATAAGTATGGCTCCCAAACAATAGTATATACTAATGCTAATGAGTAGGCCTTGTAGGGAAGAAAAGATTCCTCACCCATCCATAGGTTCATGACTGAAGCCCCATAACTAATGACAGATTAACAAGAGAAAAACATACGTGTTTATTTAAGATAAGTTTTTGGTGACATGGAACCTTCAGAAATGAAGACTCAGAAACGAGAAATAGGAAAAACTGTGTGTATTTTATGCTAAGTCTGATGAAGAAGTGGATAGTTGTAGAGAAGCATGTTTAGATAAAAGGGATATGACCTAATGGTAATATACTGTGCGAATTTAGCAAGACTTGTATTTTCAGATTACTCTCTGTATCTTTACAAATAAGGACATTCCTTTTCTCTGATATATGGAGAATACCTCTGGAATGAAGATCTTATGCCCCAATCCATAGAGGTAGTTCAGAGGATTATTTTATGGCCTGCTTTAGACAAGAAGGGTGTTGGGAATGTCAGAGAGATCATTCTGCTTCTGTTTTCTCAAATGCCAGTGTATAATTTTTTAGCATATCCTATATCCTGTCAGCCATATAGTATCTTGTTAAATGATTGCTGTGTTTTACTAATTTAGAACTGCAGCTGGGCATGGTAGGAGTATCCTATGCAAGTTAAACTTTTTTTTTAAGAAGTCTTAACAATGTTTCTGTTTGTAATCTGGATATATATTTGCAAAATCAGTAGTGAATATACTGAATATGTTTTAGCAGCTAACTAAATCAGATTAAGTAGTAATGAATCAAATTTAGCTGTGCAGAAAAAAGACTTTAAATATGATATTAAAAATCCTGAGCATTAACAATCTTCCTGTATTATAATACTTTTTCTTTATTTTAACATTGTAGGCAGCTTAAGAGAGTACAAAGTAAATAGATTAATCATAGATATGTTCATGTTTTTATTGAAAGCAACCTAAAATAAATATAATTTGTTTTTTCTGCTCAAATATATGAGTTTATGGTGGATTATCCATTGTATTCTTTTTAGCATTATTAGTGGTTGTTTGCTCCACAGCCAGACATCAGTGGAATTGTTCCTACGAGAGAACCATAGTGGTTCAGGGAAAATAAAAATGTCTAAATCTGGGCGCAAAAGGACATGCAGAATAAAGATAACAGAGGTTCTAGAACAGAGACTCTCAACCTTGGCTGCCTATTAGGATCACGTGGGGGATTTTATGTAGAGTTTAGACAGCAGATCCTACCTCTGGAGTTTCTCAGTTAATTAGTTTGGACGTTTTTAAAGCTCTTTATTGGATTCCAGTATTTAGTCACTGCTGAACATCACTGCTCTAGAGGAGCACTTCTCAAATCTTAATGGTTGAAGTTATCACCTGGGAACTCTATGAAGGCAGGCTCTAATTTAGAAAGTGGGTGGGGAGTGCTGATTTACATAATCTGCTGCTGGCTTGTGGACCTCACTTTGATTTGAAAAGCTGTAGATGCTAGAGACCAAGGATCACTTGAGCAAGTGCTTGCAAATTCCTTAATTTGAATGTGTGAGCATAGCTGGGTGGAATTCCTCAAATACTTTCTAAAGGCCAGATTCAGAATTTTGTGGTATAAGGATTGTTAGCAGTTTGGGGTTTTTTGGTATCTCTTTTGAGTCGGAGTCTCACTCTGTTGCCCAGGCTGGAATGCAGTGACATAATCACAGCTCACTACAGCCGTGACCTCCTGGGCTCAGGTGATCCTTCCACCTCAGCCTCCTGAATAGCTGTAACTATGGCCTCCTGAGTAGCTGTAACCACCATCCTGGGCTAATTTTTTTTTTTTTTTGTAGAGATGAGGTCTTGCTATGTTGCCCAGGTTGGTCTCAAATTTCTGGGTTCAAGCAGTCCTCCTGCTTTGGCTTCCAAAAGTGCTGGGATTACAGGTGTGAGCTACTGCGCCCAACCTTACTAGCAAATTTTATTGTGTCTTGTTTACATGTGTGTTTCATGAGCTTTCTATACATTATTGCAGTCTGCTTTGGGATTTTTAAATTAAAATAACATTCTTCTCTAAAGTTGAGAGTTCTTGATTTTTTCACTTTCCTCTTCTTTCTTATCCCTTCTATAATTAATATTGATCTCCTAAAATAGACAAGTCCCTTGTCCTAACAGAACAGAATGATAGATGGGAAAAACATGATGGCAAAAGGTGGAGGAGGAAGGCATGAGAAGCTCTGTCTAGTCAGAGAACATAGCTGTCCAGATTTGAGTTCAAAGGAAAGTCTTGGACATGAGCTTTCTTCGGGAGTGATACACTAAGCTTAATTGTTTAAACATTTTAAAAACTACATACCTTTTTAAACTACATTTTTAAAACTGCATACTTTTTTGCAAAAAAAAATTTTGTTTTACTCCCCACATTACATAATCTAAATTGCCATTGGGTTTTTAATATGTATTTTATGTTTTAAGGACCAGTGGAATATTACTGATTCACAGACCAGCTCAGCATCTGACAGCAGGTCAAAAGAAGAACTCACGGATTCTGGGACCATCCGGGGCCAAGAGGCCAAGGCTGTGAAAAAGACCAGTCTTTTTGAGGAAGAGGATGAAGATGATCTGTTTGCTATTGCTAAGGACAGGTGAGATAGTCATTGAAAGAACTCAGTGTCTGCGGTAACAAGAAAAGGTGTTTGATGCACAAGATGGTTTCTCAAATGATTGCTAATTGTTGATCACCTAGTTGTCATGCAAATGAGAACATCTTTGCTTTTCACTTACAAAGTATTTTCCTCTAGTACTAGGAAATGTTTCTCTTCATGGATACTTACTTGATTTCTTCTCCCTGTCATTTAAAAAAAATCTTAACATATCTTTTTTTTAATTTGTCTGGGGTTTAAGTATAGTTTGTTATCTTTTGTTTTTGATTTTTGTCTGAGTTACTTAAATTTTGTCATTTGGATAGAAGTCTCAGCATTGAAAACATCCTGTTAGGAGGATGCGTGACTGCAAAGCAGTGCAGTATCCCACTAGGTGTTGATAACCCTTAGCTGGTCTAGGTGATCATCTATATGAATACTTGAACTGAAGCTAGGAGGCTATTCAGAGTGAGCATGGGTTGTGGTTGATGTTGGGACATGCTACCGGATTAGTTTATGGGTTCAGAATAACTTCTGTGCAAATACTTTTATTTCCTCTTGAGAGCTTTAAATGATTAGTTTGAAATTCAACTGAATGGTAGTAGCATAAGAGACAGTGGATTGGTCATATAAATCCTATATGCTAATGTGATTAAGCTTCATGTGCTGATTCAAAATACCTTATAAGATTTCCATCTCTAAATATTGTGATCTTTTCAGATGCCACCATTTCTACTTTTGACCCCTGTAACTTTATGCTTTGATGTTTCTTTGGCCTCTGGTTAAGAATTTAGGCTCTAGAATCCCATTACCTGATATTAAATTCTGGTCCTGCCAGTCCCTGTCCAAATAACCTTGGGCAAGTTACCTAACTTCTGTGTTGCTTCATGTGTTAAAAAATAAGTACTTCTTGCATGGGGCTGTTGAAATTATGTGATGAAATCTCAATGCAAAATGCTTAGCACAATAGCTGGTATATTGTCAGCATACAAATGTTTCCATTTATCATCGTAAATACAAGGGTAGTATTTCCTTCCTGTGTTTTTGTTGCTCTCTCCTCTGGGGCACTCTTCTTTATATCTTTCTGGGCCAGCTTCTTTCAAAACTCATTGTAAGTCTCATTAAGAAGCCTTCCCAGCTGGCATGATGGCTCAATGCCTGTAATCCCAGAACTTTTGGAGGCCAAGGTGAGAGGATTGCTTGAGCTCAGGGGTTTGAGACTAGCCTGGGCAACTTGGCAAGAACTTGTGTTTACAATAAACCAAAAAAATTAGCCAAGCGTGGTGGTACACACCCGTAGTTCCAGCTACTTGGAAGACTGAGGCAGTAGGATCACCTGAGCCTGCAGGTCAAGGCTGCAGTGACCATGAGCATGCCACTGCACTCCATCCTGGGTAACAGAGTGACACTCAAAAAAAAAAAAGGAAGCCTTCCCTAACTTAAACATACAAAAAAGAGAAAAAATAGGATGAGAGTCCAGAGCAGACGGGGCTCCCCACCTTGTCCCCCACCCTCCATGACCACGCTGTAGCTGAGCATTTTCTACATTGTATTAAAGTTATCTGTTTACATGTGCGCCTCTTCCTCTCCATTCCCACACAAGGTCATAAGTTTAATGATCTGAAACATGTCTCATTTTTGAGTCCTTCTAGCCATGCACAATAGCTGACTTTCAGTAGTGCTTTCTCTGCTTCAGACTTCTTCTACTTCCCATTGTTCCTGAAGTTGTCTGTAAAGTTTTGCATATGGGAAATAATTCATAGCTTTTATCATATCCCAAAAGAAGCTTTATAATAATAAGTTCAGGCAAGGATGTGGAGCTGGAACCCTCATACATTGCTAATGGGAATGTAAAGTACAGCCACTTTGGAAAATGGTTTGGCATTTCCTCAAAATGTTGAAACAGAGTTGTCCAATTGGTTTTATGTTTTTATAAAACCCAATAATTTCACTCTTGTGTATATAACTAAGAGAAGTGAAAACATATGTTTATATAAAAACTTACACATTAATGTTTATTTCAGCATCATTCTTAATAGCTGAGAAAAGAAAACAGCCCAAATGTCTGTCAGCTGATGACTACATAAGCAAAATGTTATACAACCATATAGTGTACTATATTATTCAGCAATAAAAAGGAATAAAGTAGTAATACATACTAGAACGTGAACGAACATAAACTATTATATTACTTAAAAGAAGCCAATCACAGAAAACCGCATGTTCTGTGGTTCCATTTATGTGAAATGTCCAGAATAGGTAAACCTACAGAGACTGAAAGTAAATTAGTGGTTGACAGGGGCTAGAGGGAAGGAGAATGAGGACTGACTGCTCATGGGCATGGAGTTTCTTCCTGGGGTGATGGCAATGTTGTGAACTTAGATTGTGGTGATATTTGCATAACTCTGTGAATATACTGAAAACCACTGTTGTGCACTTTAAAAGGGTTGTTTTTTGTATTACTTTAATTTCTTTCTTTATTAATAGTGTCGAGGAAAAAAATGAATCAGGAGTTACAGAAACAAGTTGAATACAATATGGAAGGCTGCTAAATACAAATACATTTTCACAAACACATAGGCAGCAGAAACCTGTTCAAATTGTTTCTTGAAGTTTGACTATTTAAAAACATCAGAGTAAAGGAAAGACATTTAGACTGGTCCACATGCTCTTATTATCAGGTGGAAGAGCTCTGCTTTCCAAAAACAGTGATAAGAGTCCAGAGTCACAGCATGTGGGAAAGTTTCCATGGGCACTGGATCTTAAGAGATGCTGTAATGATTATAAAACCATATACACATACACAGAGAAAGCCCAAGGAAGTTTGCAGTCTAAGCCCTATGCTTTTAGAAAGTTAAGGAACTGAACTCAATTTAATCTTATTTGTTTGTTCCATGCAAAGCTCTATGCAAGACTTTCCAGACTAGACTATTTAGCAGCTTTCCATGAATGGTCCTCAGATCATGTGATTCTATGGTGCAGAGAGCAGCTGCCCTATTTATACAGAAGCAGCAGAGCTCAAGAGGAATGTGCATTTGCTCTTGGGAATTCAGTGTTGCAAGATAGGATGGTCTTGGATGGTAACCACTGTTCTAAATGTGGCTAATGATAATGTCCAAGGGCTGGAAAAACTTCTTTTGATTAAGGCATGCTGCTGTGAGTTCTCCAAGGCACTTGGACAGGGAGCTGCATTTCAGACTGCTCAAGTGGAGTCTGAAGAATTTTTAAATGGGATGATACATAAAAGTTCAAAATGCTAATAAGGTGGAATTTTCTCCTTTCAAATGAGAACAAGGAAAACTGTTTAGAAGGAGTTCCATTTTTGGCACAAAAGTTTCTCACAGCTGCTTGTGTAGGACAACTTGAATAATTTCTTTCTGATATTCTTCAATCTGCTTTCTGGAAATGAGATCTTATGCCAGATTTTTAATCTTCATGGTCACCAATGCATCTTAACTTGGTGGTGAGTGGGGTTCATAATCAGAGGTCAAAAGACACAGGACTGACTGTGAACAAATGATTTCTCCTCAAGTCACAGTTTTAAGATTCAATCTCCATTTTTTTCTTCCTCTTCAATTTGAAGCCTTCTATTGTTCTCATCTCTAAAGGGGGAAGCTCTTTCTGTTTCCAACCAGAGGTTAAACATGAAATGCAAATATGAAGGCCAGTAGGATGGATCTCTTTGCCACTATCTTCCAGGGCAGGCTTTACCCATGAGAGCTAGACATCACAGCACAACCTACAGGGTCATTCAGGCGGAGGTCAAATATGATTATCTTGTTTTTGGCTATCTGACTTTTCTTGTTGTAACAACAAGGTTTCATTTATTCTGAGCCAAAGGAAAATCATAGTAACGTGTCCCCCTCTGGACGAATTACCAGAACTACTGAATTTGCAATCTATCAAATCAAAGGTTAGTGCATTTTTACCAACTCACTGAGGAAACTGAGGCCTAGAAATAGGAGTCTCCTAGTTAGTGGTGAATCAATGAGCATGTTGCTAAGCTGGGATATCCAAAGCCTTGCTTGGCTGAACCTGTCTCTAGCCTTTGGAATACTGATTTGCCTAAACTTCTCAAATAAATACAAATTAACTTTTGGATCTTGAAAGATTTATATAAAGATGCTGTTTTTACCTGGGCTTGTGTGGCTCAGCCTGTAATCCCAGTGCTTTTTGGGAAGCTGAGGTGAGTGGATTGCCTGAGCCCGTGGGTTCGAGACCTGCCTGGGCAACTTGGTGAGACCTCATCTCTACAATAAATCAAAAATTAGCCAGGCGTGGTAGCGCGTGCCTGCAGTTCTAGTTCCTTGGAAGGCTGAGGCGGAAGGATTGCCGGAGCCCAGCAGATTGAGGTTGCAGTGGCCGGGAGCGGCCACTGTACTCCAGTCTGGGTGATAGAGTGAGACTCCAACTCAAAAAAAAAAAAAGATGCTGCTTTTTCCCCTGACTTCTGAAGCACCCCTTGCTTCTCCGGCAGACAGCTAACCTGCTGGAAGCTAGGAGGGCCACCTTTGGGCTGTATCTAGTATGTGGCAGGGTGGGGAGCATAGGTCCCTGTACCAGGAGAAACCAAAAGGGTTGATTTTATGGTTCATAAATTATGTCTCAGTAAAGATACCAAGAAAAAAGAAATAAAAGTCAGGCTACAGGGTCACCTCCTGAAGCTGGCCCTAGGCCTGCCAGCAACTGCCTTCCTGATCACCGTGGAAATAGATAGAACTTTCTGGTTCTTCCTGTACCACAGGAAGTGGTGAGAAAGAATGCTGTGCTTGTGAATGGTAAGGGTGTTGTGTGCCTTGACAGAGCTATCAGCTAGTGCATTTACTCTGAACAGTAGCAGAAAAGGGGCAACATGAGAAAGTTCCTGGACTCCAACATGCGAGTGATGATTTGCTAGAGACAGATTTCACCTACTTCAAAGGTCTTTCCTGTTTGCTTTCAACTGTGTAAGGTCAACTCATTTGGGTGCTTTGGTGGTAGGCAGGTTCCTGTAAATGTAAACTAGAAGGAATATTGTTTTTATTTGATTTTATTTTTTAAAAATCACACTTGCTTTTAATTTGACCTTTTGTTTGTTTGTATAGCCAAAAGAAGACCCAGAGAATGTCTCTCCTCTTTGAAGATGATGCTGATAGTGGAAGCTCTCTGTTTGACTCTCCTCCCACATCTGTTACTCCTGCAACAACGGTATTCTTAATCTTTTAGGCCCAGGAAATATCGTTGAGGTTATGCTACATAAATAATGATACATCCCTGATTCAGCTCTTCAAACTGAATCAGCCTCAGGCTGAGGCTGAGTCGTATGAGAAAAATTGTTTTCCTAGCTTCAGAGGGAAATCTAGTTAGTGGTATTTACAGATGACACATGTGCAAAGCCATATCATTCAATATAGGGGCAAGAAACTGAGTCTCACACAGGATGTAGCCTCAATGGCATGGAATTGCTAACATTGGACTAGGCCAAGTATGGCACAGATTATTCCTTTTAGGAGCATGTTGCAAGTCCAAACACTTTGGTTTGGTTTATATTAGTAGCCAGTCAGTAAAAAAGGAAATTTCTTATATGTGCTACAACGTGCATAAGCCTTGAGGGCATTATGCTCTGTCAGTGGAGAAATGGTTACCTGAGTCGTGGTACAGTTACAATGTGGAATATAGTGGTGAAAAAAAAACAAGGTAGAACTTATGGGATGAAAACATGCTGCAGGATAAAAAAAAAGATTCATGAAAGTATATAATATGATCTTATTTAAATACAAATAAAGTAATACACATGAATGTCTCAAAACAAACGTGAAAAGATTAAAAACACATTGTTACCAATGACTACGTCTAGGGAAGGGTATGGAATGGGGACTTTATACTCTATGAATTTTTTTTTTTTTTTCATTAATCAGTATTTTTTATTATGGTTTTGTGGGGTACAGTTAAGGATTAGGTGTACAATGACGTTTCATTCAGGCACCCTGTAGATAAGAAGTGTTTTCCCATCCCCCGACAGATATTTGCTACTGTTAATCCCATCCCCCTCCCCCCCATAGTTTCCCAGTACCATCAGTCATTTTCTCATAGTATTGCATTGGATGTTCAAGGTCCATTATATGAGTGAGAACATGTGATATTCGGATTTTTGTTTTTGTGAGAGGTCACTCAGTATTATAGACTCTAGTTCCATCCAGGTTGCTGCGAAATTCATGATTTTGTTCTTTTTTATGGCTGCGTAGTATTCCATCGTGTATATGTACCACATTTTTTTAATCCAGTCCTCTTTTGATGGGCAGCATGGTTGTTTCCAGGTTCTTGCTATTGTGAACAATGCTGCGATAAACATACGTGTGCAGGTATCTTTTTTATAGAGTGATTTGAGTTCTTCAGGGTATATTCCCAGTTAGGGGGATTGCAGGGTCATATGGAAGGTCAATTTTTAGAGCTTTTAGGAATCGCCACACTGCTTTCCACAGAGGTTGCACTAGTTTACACTCCCACCAACAGTGTAGAAGTGTTCCGTTTTCACCACACCCTCTCCAGCAGCTGTTATTTTTTGACTTGTTGATAATTGCCATTCTGACTGGAGTTAGGTGGTATCTCAGTGTGGTTTTGATTTGCATCTCCCTGATGATTAGTGAGGTTGAGCATTTCTTCATGTGTTTGTTGGCTGCTCGAATGTCTTCTTTTGTGAAGTGTCTGTTCATGTCTTTTGCCCATTTTATAATGGGGTTGTTTGTTTTCTTCTTTTCAGTACGCTTCAGTTCCTTGTAGATCCAGGATGTTAAGCCTTTGTCAGACCTAGAGTTGGCAAAGACTTTTTCCCAGTCTGTAGGCTGTCTCCCTGCTCTCTTGATGGTTTCTTTGGCTTTGCAGAAGCTTGTCAGTTTAATAAGGTCCCATTTGTCTATCTTCTCTCTTAAGTCCTGTGGGTTTCGGGTTTTGTACAGGAATTGGATGCCAGTTCCGATTTCCATGAGAGTATTTCCTTCCTTTTCTAAGGTTCTTATGGTCTGAGGTTTTACATTTAGGTCTCTGATCCATTTGGAGTTAACCTTTGTGCATGGGGATAGATAGGGGTCCTGTTTCAATCTTCTGCATGTGGTCAGCCAATTTTCCCAGCACCATTTACTGAATAGGTTCTCCTCTCCTCATTGGTAGGTGGTGGGGGCTTTGTCGAAGATGAGTTGGTTGAGAAATTGAGGTTTTGCTTCTGGAATCTCAATTCTGTTCCATTGATCTATATGCCTGTTCCTGTACCAATACCAAGCTGTTTTGATGATTGTAGCTTTATAGTAAAGTTTGAAATCTGGTATTGTGATACCACCTGCTTTGTTTTTTTTGCTGAGGATTGTTCTGGCTATTCTTGGATATTTGTGTTTCCATATGAATTCCTGTGTTGTTTTTTCTAGGTCTGAGAAGAATGTTGTTGGTAATTTAATGGGTATTGCATTGAATTTGTAGATTGCCTTAGGTAAGATGGACATCTTCACAATGTTGATTCTTCCGATCCATGAGCATGGGATATTTTTCCACTTGTTCATGTCGGCTTTGATTTCTTTGAGCAGTGTTTTGTAATTTTCATTGTAAAGGTCTTTCACGTCTCTGGTCAGGAAGATGCCAAGGTATTTCATTTTTTTTGTGGCTATTGTGAATGGAACTGAGTTTTTTATTTGGGTTTCTGTTTGTTTATTATTGGTGTAGAGAAATGCGATTGTCTTTTGTACATTTATTTTGTATCCTGAGATTTTTCCAAAGGCTTTT